GCTAAAAGTAGCACATTGTACGGTCGTACGGTCGTAAAACCAAATTTTTTCGGCTTGATGGGTTACTACTATTTCGTATAGTTATGGGGCTACGCTGGAGCTCCGCTATCATTTTCAAATGTTGATATGTCCTTAAATTATTGTTCAATATAAGATTTGAACTTTGGAATCGTACAATTTCAGAATTTTATTACAAACCTACGTAATTTTCTGGCCGTGAATTCTAGTGAACAACTATTCAAGCAAGCTGAATCTACAACGCGGTCTCGTACATGTAAAAATTCGTTCGTTTTTAACTTCTTATCAGAAAGTATATAATTCTTTGAATAAAACTTTGGTCTCAAAATATTTAATGACCGTCTTTGCCTTGCCTTTATTAGTGTAGCTAGCTAATATAGTTTTCGGGCTGATCGTTTCTCCGGTAAATCCGACGCAATAATAATGGAAACTCTTTCTTCAAGAACAATTCGTGTTCGCTATGTTATAAAAGAATTAGTTCATGCATGCTTTTAGCTGTGCTTATATTAAAGAAATAAAAAACGCGCCGAGTGCATCGTTGAGTTATACAAATACTTGGGAATTTTTAAGAACACTCGAGAAGTGCGGAAAGCACGAGCCGAGGGCGAGTGCTCCTCGCACTTCTCGAATGTCCCTTAGCAATGGGAAACTAATAAGAAAGAAATCAACAACACCAAAACGAAATACAACAAAAAAAAACAAACAAGTAAAACAAAAAGAAATATAAAAGCAATAATTGTTCGTTGGTGGGGAGAATGCGCAATCCACCACTCGATCCTGTGATCGAGTTAGGTTGGATCTGGTCCTTAAGGAAGACAACAACAACAACAACAACAGTAACAACAAAACAACTAACAAATTTATTAGTAAAACTAAATTATGTTAGAGATGAGGCTTCAGTTGTGATATTTTTGAAGTTTGGAAAGGCAACATGATGATGCTGGTATTCATGATTTTGTTGTCCCTATTATTGTTATTATTATTCTCATTATTACAACTATTATTATTATGATTATTAGATATAAAGAATAATTTTAAGTCAAGAAGTCGAATTCTTGAGAAAGCAGTTGACCGCGAAGACACCCTCTGAACGTGTGACACCTTTTATGAGCGTGACGTGTGATGAGTGAAATCCATCAATTTGCTCTCATTCTTTGGAACATTATAATGTACATAATGTTTTCATTATTTTTATCATCTTTTTCTTCTCATTTTTCGACACGTAGCGAGATCTTTTATTTTGATATCAGCAGGTTTACTTTTTTTGTAACGTTTCCAAAAGGGAATAAAAAAGGAAAGAAAGAGCAAAAAAAGGGGAATCGGTGTTTACGGTAATTTTTTTGCCTCACTTTAATACGTCATATTCTTCTAAATTGTACAAAGAGAGATATCACCATACTAAAATACTATAACCGATAAACGAGTTAAAAAATGTGTGGATGTAACAATAATAATTTCAACTAGGATTTTAAAAAAGCAGCTTGGTTTTTTTAGCCTTCCTCTCCCCTGTGTCAGCGGTCTGTTCTCCATGTTTTTCGCCGAGAATCATCCTCACATTTTATTGTGAATCAAACTACTCCCATGTGATTTTCAAGCAATTCTTGCATCGATAATGAAACCATTTAAAGCCAAAAATGAATCATTTAGAGTGTCTGAAATGAATCTTTTCATTCCCAAGATCTCTAAAGCAATCACCAAGGGGTCTGCTAAATATTTCCTATAATTAATAATCCTATGAATTTGGTGTTGGATTACATGGTAATACTCTAGTGGATATACATTTTTATCCCCATCACTTGACTGTTTGATATTGTTTTGATAACGATAGAAGAAATTATTTATTGGTCTTTCCTGGGATTGAAGGGGTTAGGTGGGGATGATTTTTAGCGTACTTTCAAGGCATAAGGTTCCTTTGATCGCCTTTCAGATATTAAGACTACAGCACCTATACTTATATCTAACCATGTCCTCTTCGTAATTGCTGGCTAAGGTCAGTACAAAACTCTGCAGAAATTCATTAGGGTTGCATCGGACCCACTGCCGATCCAGGTTTCCAATGGCTGCATTGGCTTTTGGGGCCCAGCCTGTATTCTGTGTCGTACAATGAAAGCCGAGTTCGTCAAATCTGTCCAGCACTTCTGTTGTCTTGCCTCGAAGATTAATGTATTGGTTGCTTATGTCCTAATTGATAATAAAAAATTAATTAAAATTGTTAAAAAAAAAGACGTTTTTGAGCGCTATTGTTCAGTAGGTGTCCATGGTACTAAACCATAGCAATGTAGACAATTTAAAAGACTTGCGTTTTAAAAATAACAAATCAAATCTATCTTCAAACAGGTTAGTGTTAAGCTTCGTTTTCATTACTGCTACCTGTGACGATTTTTCTGGATATGTAATTGAAATTTGTTTCATAGTTCCGGTTCCACTACAGAATAAGTCCTTTCCCCATAGGTCATGGTTGATTTTAAGTTGAGGTGCCGTGACAGTTTTTTAGCTATCTAGTCAGTTAGCCAATCAGTCAGTCAGGTAAGCAAGCAGTTATCGAATAAGTCAAGCCACAGGCAGCCCAACTGTACCATAAGTGATTTCGGGGCTTTTAAGGTCATAAACAGGAATATCTACTATGCTGAATATGTGTATTTACTGTATATTGTATGATGCATATTGCACGATGAATTCAGATTGAACTTTGAGCGTTCCTGTGTACTGTAAAAAAATGAAACAAATAAATATAAAAATAAAAAAAACGAAAAAGAGTAGCAATGATTTTAACACTATCAACGGTGCACAGCACACGTCCATCCCTAAATCATGAAATATTCAGGGAATATCAACTTCGTTTAACTAATGAGTGATTGAATGCCAATGGAGGAAGGGAAATTTTGGCTAATACTTCCACAGTTAATACACATATTCAGCATATTAATTATTCCTGGTTCTGACTTTTAAATCCCCAAAATCATGCATAGTACGGTTGGGTTGCCTGTGGTTAAACTGACAGTCAGTTTATGAGAAAGTTATTCACTGTAGGCAGCCGGTCAGGCAACCATCCAAACAGTACACTAGTCTGTTAGTCGGACAGTCGGCCAGTCAGTCAGTCAGTCTATCAATCACTATATTAGTCAACCAAAGAGTAAGACAGTCAGTTGGTTGGCTTTAACAAATTTTTTTTTCAACTTTAAAAGAGCACACCCAAAAATGCTTAAGTAACTCAGTCAGTAAGCGAGCCAGTCAGTGAGTAAGTGAGTTTGTTGGTTAATCAGTTAGTCAGTCAGCCATCAGTGAGTCATCCAGAAAATTAGCAAGTCAACCAGTCAGCCAGCTATTCAATCAATCAGAAAGTCAGTTTCCAGTCAATCCGTCTGTATGTCAGTCAGAGCGTCAGTCAGTCCATCAATCAATTTATTGATTGGTTATCTACTTGTTTCAGCTAGTTACTTCGTTACTTGGTGATTAACTTAGAAGTAGGGCTTATTATGACAGTTTTTCACCCGCTTCTTTTCTCCGCTCCCCATCTTTGGCCTTGCGCCTTAATAAAGAAATGAAGGGTTCAGACCTCTTACCGTAACCTCAGAATCCAGCTGACTGAGTTTATTCCGGTATCGCTCGATTAGCAAGTCCTTCGTATTAGTCTCGTCCTTAAGCGCCACCATCTTGCTGTCCAGTAAAGTCTGCAAACTTTTGAATTGAACTCGATCAGCTTTGGAGTCAAGCTTGGCTGTCAGTTGGTCGATCTCGGCTTTCTGTCGTTGTATTGTCTTTTCATAGGATGTTATTTGTCGCTCCATGTCGGAGAGTTTGACGGAGAACGACATCAAAGCTGCTAAGGCGGAACTTTGTGGGGCCTGTCGCTGCAAAAAAAAAAAAAAAAGGCAGATAAATATTTAATAATAATAATAATAATAATAACAATAATAATAATGTAAAATTAAAATAGGAGAGAGAAAGGGAAATCAATGATGCCGAGTAAAGGTTTACTCCTCTTTGGCCATATCTCTCAAGTTGCCTTTAACCATGACTTTGGTGTTCGTCTGACCACAAAAACTGATGCTTTTAAAAGTTAATTATAAATCGAAAAAATCGAAAAATCGAAAAATCGAAAAAGAGTTTAAAATGCTACAGTCAGCCAGCCGACCCAAACCTCCATCGTTTTTTTCATTCCTCCGCTTCTATCGCGCTGTTTACTATCGCGTTTCGTTTTACTAACTGACCGCTTGGAACATGCTAACCTAACAGGGGAGGTGAAGGGAATTGACCGTGTAGCCAGAAATGATTGTTAGGAAAGGGCATCGCTTGTTGTCCCATGTTTTATCGGTAAAGTTAACTCATGATACTGCTTGATACCTCTCTAGAATACCTCTATGTATTACGAAAACCATGCAATGTAGTTAAAAGTCAATGAAAGGTTTATTGTCGTAAAGAATCGTATTGCTGCACTAGTGATGTCTTTTCCTCGGATATCCACTCTTACCTTCAGTCGTAGCTTTCCTCTCGGCATCCCAACTGAGTGTTCAAAGATGTTTAAGGGCAGAAGAAACAGCAACAAAGCTGCGAAATTCGTCATCATCGCCAGTCAAATCTTCAACAACAACAATAGCGTTTTGTGTGCGCCTTGTCGAGAGAAATCCTATCTTTGACAGACTCAGCTGATGACAGAAGAGGGTTGATTAAGTCAGCCGGTAACAAAATAATGGTGGACTGGACATTCGGCGTGACCGGAATGATGCTCATGATGGTGATACATCGACTTTCGTCCCTGCTTTGAGAATCAACCTCGAGAGAAAACGGTCTTCTCGTCTCTATGAGAACGTCAGTTAGGGCTACAATATTAAATAGCCTGGTCATTTTGAAATGGTGTCTGTCACGGTCACGTAATAGGACGTGTAATAGCAACAAATACCAAGTCGATACTTGTTACAGATAACACGGGTGGCAAAAACGATGGGATGATCAGCGAGTGCTTTGATGGATCTGCATGACCCTGTTTTACCACTTGATCAATTTTCGAGTAGTCCATTGAGAAATTTTTTAGCCCGAAATTTAATGATTCTTATTATACATAAAAAAATAACTGATATAGTGAGCTCTCAAGGTCTGTATGTAGCTCCTTGAACGTATTCATGGAATAACAGCCCGCTAAAAAAGACATGAAAATAATCTGGGAAGTCTTACATCTACAGAAGACCGCAATTGAAGGATATTTGTTTTCTTGGGATCCTGTTGTTATACGCGTTCTTGAGGTTGCCCCAACAAGAAGAATCCAGCGTCCTCTGAACCAAGAGTGTTCGTTTCTCATTGTCTCTCCGAAAGATCAAGTTACAAGAAAACAAACCGGTCTTTGTGTGCCAGTTATGTTTTCGAAGATGGCGTTGTCACGTACAGTCATATTTGCCCTGCTTTCTATGCAGTTCCATTTTGTCTTTACAGACGGGCATGAGAAGCCAATGGAAAGAAATCGATTGAAGGTAAATTTATGCACCCAAAGTACCTTCTACTGATGCGATAAAGACATATTCGCGTTAGAAATTGACAATTTGTGCTTCGTTTCAAGGCTCAGTCATACTGGTTTAAAATTCCACGTAACGGCTGTATCATTCACGAGATATCAACGTTTGTTTTAGAGACAAAGATTAGATGGAAAGTACCACGAGAAATAAGGGAACGCATGCTTTCTCTTTAGGCCGGTTGAGATAATTGTTCCAGATACTAAACAACTAAAATTTGAGTTTGCATGGTCAAGTAAATCGTGAGTAACAGAAGGATTTATTGGTGGGGTGAAGGAGGGGGGGAGGGGGGGAGGGGGGGGTGTGGGAATCGGCCCTCAATCGAGCCGTGCCATGCCTGAGTACATCACAAGGGAGTGAGGCTCACTGCTACCTTTTAATTCGGGAAGGCGATTCAGTAGGCTGTACTTGTAAATATCTCGAGGGAGGATTCAAAATTAAAAAAGGGGACATGTGCGTATCAATATGCAGTAACAGGAGTTTATTATCATAATTATGGGCTCCTGATAAGAATGAATTCTCAGGTGTTGACCTGACTTCCCAGTTATAGCGTTCTCTTCTCCTCTGTCTCCAACCAACCCTCTCCCCCTTTATTTTTAGAGGCAAAGAGAGACTAGAAGATAAGAGAGGGAAATATTTCACTCGCTCTGAATTATGACATAATGATCTAATGCGCAGTCGATGAGAAGTAGAAAGCCAGTAGCCCCCAACCCCCCTCCTTCACTGTCTAGGAAAAAACATGTGAAAATAAAACATTAGAAGATAACTGTTACCTTCGGATGATGATCTCTCACACTCTTTCTAGAGAGCCCTCAGCGATGATGATATCATACTTGGTCTTAAAATGTACGAAACGAAAATGGCCGGTTTGCAGAGAAAAATCGCACACCAACTGGCAAGCATGAAGAAACAAAAAAGTCGGATCAACTTTATCAAGTTTTATATGAAAAGAAAAGGGGACGACTACGAGAAGGAAGACCTGGAGGGAAATATTATAGCTGATACTGAAAAGGGCAAACAGAATCTACAGCTCGCATCACTTGACAACCTGGTGAAGGAAGCAGATCATCAGGAGGAGCGACAACGGGTGAGTGACAGGTATCATTTAGCCTAGGTGACAGTTCAAGTTCAAAGTTCTGTAAGCTTGTAATGCGTGTCGGGAATATCGCTTCTAGTACGCCAGGTCAAGCCTTCATTATAAATTTCTGCGTAAAACAGATTTTTTTTTAAAGCCATAAAGATTGTGATTTAAAAAAAACCAATTTGTTTGTTTATATATCAAAGTGTTAAGATACTTTGTAGAAACAGCTATACGTAAAAAAATATATTTGAAATGTAATTTATCCTTAAGTCTGAAAATTAACCTCGAGCTTGTAGGAAATCCAAACATTTCAAAACTTCTTCTTTAATTTTCGTCTCAAATATTGGTGGAAGTCTTTCAGGTATTGATAATTATGACTGAGTCGTTCTAAAGGAAAATAAAACCCGAGATGGAACAAGGATGGAAAGCCAATATTGTAAAATATTATTAAAAGTGGCCACGTATGCAAGTTTAAGGGCATATATGTACATAGCTGCAAAGACTGGGGGGAATTTTCTGTAGAGAAAAATGATGCATACGAGACTGCCTGCACTACCATTGTTCTTTCTCGAATACCACCTCATTCCTTGGGAAATCATTACTACTTCCTATCAGGCAAAATAAAGAACTGAATAAATAGATGAATGAATTAAATGAAAGATTTTGAATTTTAGGCGACTTTAAGATGACATAATTCAAACCTATAACGTACTTAGTTAAAACAAAAAAGATGCCCACCGATCATCGTTTTCCTATTGCTTACAGGGTACGACTCGGGAGATTTCGTACCAATACTTACAATGTGCCCCCTTGGGGGGTTCTGACAGGGAGATAGGTGACGCTTCAGACTAAAATTTTAATTCTTGGTCTATATTCGCTGCTGAAATTTCCATTTTGTTTCCATTTGCCATCAGGAACTCTTGGAAGAACTTAAGAAAGAAAACACCGTTATGAGTGACATTCACAAGCGCGTGCTGGATAATAACGCGATCTGCCGTGACACATACACTGAATGGAAAGACGTGGGTAGTGGTACGATCAGAGAACTCTCCAAGCAGTACGTGAAATGCAATGAAGACGAGCTTTTGCTCCGATTTTATTTGCAGAAGAAGTCCACAGCTGCTAAGAAAATCAGATATAAATATCGATGTTGTCGATTTAGTTTGAAAGATAAATGGCAAAGGCCAGACGACATGTGAAGTCACCTAGTTCTTGAATGGAAGAACTTTGCATTTAGCTCTGATTAATCATAGCTTACTGACACTTTGTACCTCCTGATTTTGCCATAACTATTTTGGACTAGCGTTGAGAGCAACGAACAACTTACCTTCATTTGTTTATTTTTCCTGGAATCCTTAAATCGGAGATAAAATTAAATCGTAGATGAATTAGATTTGGTTTTTTTTTTTTTTATCAGACTAATCACTTTTTCGTGAAAGTGACCCTGTCTTTTTTTCCCTATGTTCAGTGGCCGATTTGACTCTCATAAATCCTCGCAAAAATAATTTACCCCTGAAATATAAATACTGAGTACTCCAAGAAACCTTGACGGAAGACTGCCCGACCTTGTTAGCATATATCGAACGTGAATAAATTAGAGTCAGCAAGAGAATGTTACAATCGAAGACATGCACAAAGAGCACAGTTATCAACTGTAAAGAGCCCACATCAGCTTTTATGTGTTTTGTGGGCATCACACAACTTTGTGTAAAGGAACTAGGGGGTTCTTCGTCTCTTTTTTTTTTTTTCCTTTTTTTTTTTTTTTTTTTGTTTCGTTCTTGCTTCAATTTCGTAAACAACTGTCTGAGGATGAGCTCAGAAAATGTAAGTTAACAACTTACAGCTGATTAAAAGAAATTTTTGATTTCCCTAAATTAAAATGATTTTACTCAATTATTTCCCCAAATCAAGAACTATGTAGTCAAACTTGGGTCATGAACACACAAACATGTATTCTTTCATGAAAATGCAGGGATGAATTGTGAAATACACTGAAATCCGTCAAACAAAAGGAATGAACATATGCTGAACATACGAACTTTGTTATCAGCTGCAAACGTGTGGGATCGTCTAGACATGACTCTCCCGTCTCAATTGCATTTCAAAATTCACTCTGCTCGCGAAGCGTAGAACATAATTGACCAACTCGGCGATGTTGGAGTTTTTTTTCTTTTTTTTTAATCTCTCTATTGAAAATTGTACCCAAAAAAATATCATATATTTAAGCACTTTCTATAGGTTTACCGATGTTAGGCCGAACGCTCGAAAAGTTTATAAATCACGAGCCGATTTGCTATTTTAAAATAAACTTAATTTCTCTTAATTTTCTATGGGTTTAGTGCGATTAACGATAAGGTTTTTTAACCAATCAGGGCGTTGGTAGCATCTCAGTCATTCTAAGAACATCTGGCAACCTTGTTAATGATAAGATTGTTTTATATAAACAGTTAGGTTCAAATTTTACATGAACCTTACAGTGACTTCCAATGATAGTCAATTAGCACATTTAACGTCATATCAAAGCTATCGCAATTCATGACTGTGTACATTTAGTCAGTGATACACCGTGTTGAAGAAAAAAATCATCGTGAACAGTCATATTCTCTTGAAATATTACATGTAGACAGTATGTTTAATGTAGCATTTTCTCAGTCATTTAGTAAAATATTTCGTCTGCTCTCCTTTCGTGATTTGTAATCGTTAGAAAACAAACTTCAATTAGTATAAAATAATAGGAATAATGAATGAGACACCCGGTAATACTGATGACGTAAAGGGTAAGTTTTATTTAACCAAGAATAAAATTTTTTTCGCCTAATTTTTTTCGCTTTCGAAATGAGCCATTCAACTCAGGCTATCATACAGAGGTTGATCGATTCTGTGATTTGTGACCGCTTGATTTCGCGGGATTTATATTTTGAATTAGGTTATTATAAGGACGATTTAGTCGGAAATTCCGTAAATCAAGGTAAGGTTTTTTCAGAGTGGTTTATAAAAATTTAAACGGTAACTACACAGAAATTGTCTCTGGTGCCTATGATTTCGACGGAGAATTTACCAAGAATGACGTATTCCTACCATTGGAGCGTAATATAGCCGTGCGTTGTTGAAAGGAGAGAAAGAGCCAGTGTGACAATTACACAGCACATCTGTATTTGCAAGCATTTCCTTGTGTTCGTGAGTGAAGTGTCTTAAATTCTTGGATTATAAGGGAAAAAATTGAATCAAGACAGAGCATCGAGGCGGACTCCAACAGTAATTTATGATATTTTCGATTTTTTTTTTAACTACCTCCGTAAATGCTTGTTCAGCTCGTCTGATTATGACATGAACTGATTCAACGGCTTTGATTGAGAAAACTTAGTTCGAGGGCAGCATAACTCATATCATATTTTGATCATTTTTTGTTTATCAAATATTTCGCTGATTATGCAATCTTTCCTTGAGTCTTAACAACACCTGACTGTTTATTTTCCTATGTCTTGGTTTAAACCGCAATAAAGAGAGTAAGTCACTCGAAGTCGAAGAAAAAAAAGAAAAACAAAAAATAAAAAGAAGAGTGACTTTAGATCTGGGAATTGGAATTCTAGATAAAGGTTACAACGAAATTCTTCTAGCAAGAGATTGTAATATCTTACTTCTATGCCAGCACGGTTCAAAATAGTCACCTACTAGCAAATTTTTTCAGAATTAACCTTTGAAACTGTGAATTTGCTTTTAATTTAAGTTTTTTTTTCTATTCCTTTTACACTTCGTAATTCCTATCTTCGTTAATTTCCTGCATCCTGTTGGAAACCTTGGCCTCTTTCAGTTTAGATACGTAATTGAAACGCGTTCCTTCATAGAATCTTTAATGTCTTCTAAATGGCTGGGAAAATATTATCTTTTTCAAATTTGTTTGGAAAGATCGGAACGACTAATTGCTTGATGTATCTTATGTTTAAAATAACAACACGAAAACAGTGCATATTCAAATTATCTTGAAGAAAGAAAACATGAATTTGAATTTTCGCCCACTTCTGAAAGGAACAAATTGCAGTTCGCCCTCAGGCGCCATCACTATAGTGGCGAACGCATGTCTCGATTAGAAGTGTAGATATCCATGTTATGTCCTTTGATGGCTTAAATACGTTGGACTGTTGATTATAATAGTTATTTCTTACTTCTAGGCTTTCGTTTACATCAGAGCTTACTGTACTCTTTCAATGAATGGCGCGTACAACACGAACAATATTACGTCCACCAACGAGTCAAGAGGTAAGATATGACATAGGAGAGATTAAGTGTTTGCGAAAAATGACAAAAGGCAAAAACGATGGCATTAAATGCCCGACTGGGGTTAAAATATTTGTATTTCCTATGAAAGAGCTAATTTCCCAATAGTTTTCTACTCCTGTAGAGCAATCTGAGGAATATGGGAAAATTGAGGAAGAATTTACTCCGCTTTTCGACATTGGTGAATTATATCTTGAATATCACGGTTCTTGCAAAATTATGATAGTTATCGATCTCGACATCTCATCAGCCATTGCGAGGAGTCTTTAGTCTCGGTGGCAACTAGCTCTTCCTTATTGTCAGTCTCATATTTTAAACATGAGGTATCTCGCGAGTCCTAGATTTTACCATTCGCCACCTTCTCTCGCGCGGTTTGCCGTTTTCTGTAAAACGTCATATTGATTTAAAATTAATCTAATATAATTTCACCGATTTGCTCGCTCTATTGAGGCTATGCATTACGTAATGAGGCCCAATATTGATTCCGATCCGCTGTTTTTTCCATTATCTGCCCTATAGTGGCTCAATCAATCAGCTGAACATCAATATTATTTTGAACAATAGCTCGTCGGTTTTCCGCCAAAAGGATTAAAGATATCCAAAACTTTTCTGGTTGAGAGGATAAATTGTGTATTCTCATTGTAACCAATAATATTCTCATTGACCAATAACTAACTAACTAACTAAATAAATAAATGAATAAATAAATAGATATTTTTATTGTTGTCTTACATTTAAGATTTTCGTGACACGTTTTCGATGTTAGTATAAACCAACTGAGTTTTATCATTGTAGTCAAAGCTTAATAGAACACATCAAGGTTTGTGGTGATTGCGGGCAAAAGAAAATTTGTATACCTCGGCAGAGAAAATGTCATATTATGAAGCCCGCCCTGCTCCTTGCACAATATTTTGCTGCTGCAGGCAACAAGCCAGTTTACTATAAAGGGTAGTTGTTTTCGATGGAACTATTGATTTCAACGGAATCTAAAACTTAAAATGGCGTCAAGACGAAAACACTTTGCTAGCAGTTTGCCGAAAAGACCTTTACGTCTGAATCTAAATACTGTAAATAATGGCCTTCGATCAAAACGCGTTAGTTCCATCAAAAATCTCTATAGATTCCGACCAAACGCGTACAGCCTGCTCAGATTATTGGCGACACATTTGTTACAAAAACGAAAAAAGTTTTAACTCAAAAGGGCGAACTTCATGGCAAGCGTTAAGAACGAAAAGAGAAGAGTGGGTAACAGGCATTTTCTTCCATCCCTCACCCCACCTCCCACAAAAACTTGCTGGTCGCCAAGCCACTCTTAACGAAAACCGCGTTTAATTTCAAAAGGTTCAACAATAAAATAATTATCATAAGAAGGCAAAGTTTACTCAAAATATTGGATCAATGGAGCCAAGGACATCATCTGCCGAAATATTGGCTCGCATGTTTGCATCCAGTCCAAGTTATGATCAGAACTCTTTTCCAGTATATTCGCACAGGAAATCCACTTTAGATGCCGACATTTTCTGAATATTTGCAAAGATTTTTTTAACAATTGGACCTCCATTCAGGAAACATTGAGTTGAACAAAAAGGAGCCGGAAAATACTCTTTGTAAACTGGTGAGACTTCTAATGTTCCACGGCAGTCAGGAACCACGATTCTTGTTCACAAAGTTAGCAACGGTGCTGGGCATGAGATGCTAAGCATGACATAAAGCAGTGTAACGGAACGAGCTGTTGGATACATGAATGGATTCCTTTTTATAGTCCTAGACAAGAAATAACCGCATGAGTTTTTTTCCTGCAACATTTTTTATTTATTTATCTGTTTTTTTTTTCTTTTTTAAATTTAAATTTAAATTTTGTTTAGTGCTACCTTACTCGAGTGGACACGTGCGAAACACGTTTGACTATGCTTGCCTTAGGAAAAGAAAATGTAAAAAATAAAAATTACCAGTATAAAAATTAATTGAGCCACAAAATTTCCATCTTTGAGGAGCATACCGTGCACCTTTGCGGTACGTAGAAAACGATTTAAGCCAAACGTTCCTGTAAAGGACATGTGTGAAGCTAGGATCAACTTAAATACACATCATTATAAGATGTTGACTGGGGAATCATAATTAACAAAAAATTGGTCTCTGAGAGAGTGAAATACATGACATAGTTGGAGGTCGGATTACTGTTTTCTTCGAAAATAATTCAAATGCAAATAGTTTAAGCCACCTTACTTGTGTTTTCTTTGTAACCGTAAAAAGCTGTCAGGAAATTTCTCCAAACAATACTTAGACAAAAGCCGAGAAGGAAAAGCGTAGAAAAATTCTAATCGTAAGTTTTTCCTAGTTAACCTAAGATGGATTTTGAAGAAGAAGGTGATCCAAAACCCGTTAAGGTGAAGCGAACATCGGGTAAAGCTCAAAAGTAAAAGATCGAAGACACAATTACCTCTTAGAGGAGTAAAATAGGTTTGCCGAGGTGATGTCGAAGAATAAGTTCTAATATGGCGAAATGGTTTGGCTAATTATCGTATCCGGATCATTGTTTTCTCTAAAGCAAACAAGTCCTTTTGAAGTCCGCCGTGATTTTATTGCCGCCAAGCAAAGACATTATTATTCCAGGTACATTCAGGGATCTAAAGCACAATAGGTCCTATTGAATTTTCTCTCTATGGGCCTATTAACAACCTAATGTGTGCTTAGCCTTACACGTCTCTTTCAGTAACTGAGCCGGCTTCCATCACGTAAGTTGGATCTTCCACGACTCTGCTTTCTTAACCTCCACATCCAGCAGCATTTCCAAATATCAGTCCTCTTTAGGAAAAAACCTTGACGACCTACGAGGAATTGCGTCACTTATGATGTAATGGGATTGGTTTGTAAAAGGATTATGAACCGACCTCCGGGTGTCCAATATCCTGTCTTGCTCTGGTCAATATTGTTTGTCGTTGTAGACGAGACAACAAGAATCGTGACGACGTAAATGTTCTTTGGCCGACATGGAGTTTAGACGACGTGATTAATGTCATCGGCATAGTTTGGTAATTCTTAAACTGTTGTAGAGAAAAGATTTGAGGCATCTGATGCCCATGGTTGAATGCCATTAGTTATAAGGCTGTTGGTATGTAGACAGGAAATGAACTTCTGCTAAGACTGTACCAGGGAACCTATTTAATATTTTCACTTGACCAAATTCCTGCTGCTTTGGTGTATGTCCTGATGTCTCCAATTAACGAAAAACGTTAGAGGGACAACTAACAAGTTGATCATTTTTATTCTGAGGAAGACAGTACAGCCTGGCTATCGTATAAAGTAAAACGGGAAAATTATCTGTTGGATTGGGCCGAAAATGGAAAACAATACGTTAACGTCGTGGACTGTCACACCTGAACGCTCTGTTGGGCATCCTGTCAGCGGTTTCTCGTTATCAGTTTTGGAAAAGGTATTATATGCAGAGCAGTAGCCCTTTCTTAATGTGTTTTCTATTTTGAGTATGGTAAGTTCGAACTGATGTTTTGCAGGTGAGTTTGTCCGAGTCAGTGTATTTAGCCAATTACTCGGGTCGATGTACACAATCTCATCCGGCGCCATCTGCACAAGAAGTCGTATTTGAAATTTCAATTTCAATGTCCTTCACACTTTTAAAACCGGGAAGTTTTATTTGAAAGCACATTCGATTACTTCTCGAACTAGAGCATAGTGTGTCAACACCGTTACCATTCTCTGCCTCATCTAATGCCAAAACTTCAGTAATTGCTTGAAAAGCCTAAACGTCACTTGTATTTCATGACATTGTACTTCGACGCTATTTTCCTTTTTGTCGTGGTATGCAGATCGCGAAGATCTTGGATTGTTCTCAAGAAGCTGTGCAAGATACCCAAAACCTACAGAGAAACTTAAAATCCCTCAGGGAGGAGAAGGAATACTGGGAAAACTTTATGGATCTGGAGGAGTGGAACAGAGAAACAGTCGATGAAGTCGAAATAGCGTGGAATAAAAGGTATTCACCCCTGCCCAGCTTATTCCTAATTACTGTGACCTTCGTTATTCTTTTTTATAGCCATCAGGCACGAATGAAGAGGCCAACATTGTTTCGATACTTCTATTAATGCGATAACTAAGCGAGAATATAACCTGCAATCAATTCGAGTGGAATGTTTTGACGAGAATATAATATACTTAGGTAACTAGAGGAGTCAAAAATAACACCCATCTCTCACAGTTTGATATTAGCTTTCAAACCTTAGAGTGATTCCTAGATATCGTAGATATCATGCTGAGAACGTACTGAAACTGCAGCATTGAGTAATTACTTTGAGAAGTTACGTTTCAAGTTTTTTTGTAGTTGCCTGCAGGAGGGAACATAACCTTTTGTGATATCGAAAAACCTTTTTTTTTTTTTCCATGGAAGTATTTGTTTACTCCTAAAAGGCATTTTGCTTTACAATTAGTGTGAGAGTAATGAAGCTAAAATGAATGGCAATAGGAGCTTTTCACTTCGTTTAAATTTCTTCGTTTTTATCGAAGTTTCACCTCACGGGAAATTAAGAGTCACCTCGGTGAATGACTCAAACGGTTGTAAACACCTGGACATCAGAATTTTCTTGTTTTAAAAAATACTTTCCACTTTGTATTGATTCTTTAATATCTTATTTCTAATAGCGTGCATTTTCTTAACAAAGCATCTAATTGTTTGGCATGATGTTATGGCGGTAATTGCAAACGGGCTGTTTGCCTCATTAGTAAAGAGCCCTTTCCTTCAGTAAACAATGGATTATTATCACCTCGAAAATTTGACCGAAACGAGGACTTAGCTGTTAACACGTATTCATGTTAGTCTGAGTGGTTGTCGATGTCACACTAGTCTATTTTAGGTTGTCCATAAATCATATTAGAAAAACCAGTTAGCTCGTTTCTTAAACAAAAGCTGTGATTTATTTGGTTTCAAAAAATTTATTTACGTGCCTACGCCATATTGCAAGCTGAACTATGTCGTGAGAGATGAAAAGGACTAAAGGGAAAAGATGTTGAAGTTAAAGAGATCATAGCAATATTCTTGGGAAAATATTTATTCAAGGCTAACTGCCTCCTAGTATTGCATTTTAAGAATACCTTTAAAAAAGTTATTTTCTTCCTTCTTGACATAACCCAGAAGGCATTAAACGCCTCCAGTTCAGCGTGATCTGTTTTTTTTCGGACGAGGCGGTTTTGGGTTGAGATGGTCAAGTGACTCCGCTGCTACTTGAGAACGGTGTGTCTCTCTTAAGGCGAAGAGTGCGATCGAACCACGCGAAGCAAACTCATTATTAGACTCTTCTTTAACCAGTACCTCTACATCATGACATAAGCGCTAATTTCAAAGAATAACTAAGATTATGTCTCAAGGTATCACTCAGTCCCAATACGGGACTGGTCATCACATGCAGATAGATCTACGACGTAAGACTGGTAGAAACATGAGCGTGAGTGATATGTCACGATACTTGAAAAACAGTGAATCAAACAAACTGAAGAGATAGAAGTGATTGACTACTGAATATAAGATCATGGGGTTTGTTATCATTTCAAACAACCAATATCGCATTCTCCAATTAATTTTGTTGAGGCATCAGTCTTTAAAAAAATTCTTGTCTCCTTTCACATACCAAAATCTTTTTTCTTGGGAACAAACTAGCAGCTAATGGATGTCATTATTTAAAGAGGAGGAATAATAAAAACAACAAAAGAAAGCCATAAAGCAGATATAAGCAGGGACTGTAAGGCGACTAGACAAAGACTAATACGCCTGTTTGACATCTAGTTATTGTTATAATTCTTTGCTAGCAAAACAAAAGACATCTATAAATTATTTTTCATCGGCCATTAAGTAGAGATATGGCGAATAGCTCAATTTTTGAGGCCTTACTGGTGATTTTGTATGCGAATGATCTAATTTTCCCTTGAAAGATTGAACCCCAAGACTTGCGCTTTTAAAACGAGGCAAATTAAGGCGGACACGACATGTTTTCTTACAACAAAGATGGACTTGTTAAAAAAAAAAAAAATCGCCGAGAGTTGTTTTCATGTACCAACAATATGGGCCGAATTGGAGATAAAGAAGAATAAAAAATTAAGACCTGAAGAATCTTGGTCACGGAAAGTTCTGAAAGGCGTATTGGTTCTAAAAATAAATATGGAATCATTGGTTGGACAGATATCGTAGATTTATTTAATTAAGCATACGACCACATTTGTTTATTGTTAAAGCCCTAAACGACCTGAATACTTTCATCAAACCTGCGTTGGGCCGTTTCTCGCCCGAGGCTATAAACCTCATGTTAACTCAGGGCCAACGCCACGCTTTGTGCATTCTTTAAAAGCTTAATCCTGAAATATTCGAGTTTACCATTTGCAACTCCTCTGCATCGTGAAACACCATTTTTTTCTTTTGCTTGTTCCACCCTTTCTTGTCTTATTCACACCTTGACAAGTGAGTTCTTATATTTAACGTGATCATAAGAAAAGACTCAATTTCTCGTGATCTGCCTGTGCCTTCTCTCACTTACGATCAACACCGCCGAGATCTCGAGTTTGCGGTGAGTTATGTTTGGTGTGTTGACATGGAAATTTCACCACTTAAGGCGGATGCTATACATAAACAAGATCTATTTGTTTGTCTTAAGACAATGCACTTAACACCATGCTAAGAAATTTAATTACACTCGTAAAACTGAGGGAGAGCCTCTGAATGAGGTAATTCTCGTGGTATATTTTTTCCAACATGGAGAGCTTCCGGCATCAATCCCGCAAAGCGTTACTCTATTATGGAATGCTTACACCAGAAAAGCAGTTCACGAACCCTAGAAATGTTAGAACGCGTATTTAAAAGAATAAGGCCTAATTTGATCCTGATCGTTAAAAATACGTCATTCCTGAATAGGTTCTTTGGTAACGGCTGGTGGTCACGATAACGGCATCAATAACAAAAACAACAACCAAAACCCTCAACAGCTAGCAGGAGAACTCTAGATGAGCGATATTTCATTTCTGTTTTTTCGTTTCCTAAGATTTTAAAACCCAAAAGAATGATAGGTGTAGGAATATTAGGGCTTTACTGGCGTCGAAAAATACCAGAGGGGAACTAAATTTATTGGGTATGGGGATTGCAAAACACCGATTGTAAAGTCATGAACTTGAAAAAATCAGTTTAGGACACTAAAATGGGCAAACGGTGCTGTAATTAATAGTTTGTCGTCTTTCTGTTTAATTTCTTTGTTATTTTTCTTTCCCTTTTGAGTTCTCGCAAGAGAATAGAAATATACATTCTCTTGATTCTCGTCTTTGACAAAATCTACTAATTCCTCTAAAATTGATTGTTGTTTTGGTATTTGAAACCGTCAGAGGACTGGACGCAAGTCACACTAGTGACAGTGCTAACACTTTTTCAAGTCAAGGTTAGTTTTAAGCTCTACGTCATAGCGATTAGCAATGTCTTGAATAAAATCTGTGGGCTCATGCAGCTCATGAAATAAAGTTCCTAGACCGGCCTCACGACATCAAAGGAACCACTTGTCACCTCAACGCTGAGCCGCTTAGTGCATAGACGTGTGCAAATGGTTCAAGACTGCAATCCATTCTAAATGCTTGGTAACATGGATTCGGCGTTTCCTTATAATATCGAAGGTGGCTGCACAGCTTGGATACTGCAGTTATTAAGGTTTGTTTTGCGCCCCGAACCAAACCATGTTCCATTACCAGACCAAGCACCATAGCCGTTAGAATGTCATGTTAAAGAGACTTGTTTAAGATGTCAGGGTTTGATCGGAAGTGCAAGTTGATCACTAACTGTGGATTTATCTTCTCCTTTCTAAATGTTATGTTTGTTCAGTCGTTCAAACCCAAATGTCAAAACCATTACATGGATTCGCGGCAACTACACATCATGGGGTCGTATAGTTGTAGTTTTATCTCAGCAGTAAAGCCAAATGTTTCCAGACATATCAGCTCTATGAAGACACAAATGAATTGCATCGTAACCACTCAAATAGTCGTATAAATATCAAGAAAAAATATATGTATAACTCCGTGACGTATTTACAATGGCTGCACTATGTTTGTATTATTGGGTACTAAATGTTTACACCCGGCCACATATTGTTCTTGTAGGAATGCTTTTGTTCAAGATAAAACTGCATGTGGTAAAGCGCGTTGCTCGCAGGAGTCTGACTGCAAATAGTCATTGTGTTTTAAGGATCTTTACCATTCAGTAAGCAGTGAAGATGATCCATGACTTATACGGTTCTTGACTGACACTCACGAGCTTCGCTTATTTCCTAGAATCGTTTTTCAGGCTTATATATCTAGAGATACTATAGTATTCCAAGTCACAATCGATTATTCATAATGCAAGAAGATTTCAGCACAGATAAACCAAAACAGTTTAGCAGAAAAACTTCTGTCCTCCGTGATATTACAAAGATCATGACGTTTCAAAGCCTTCCGGAAAACTACTAGAATGAGCTGACGAGTGGCTGATCAGATCTATCCGGCAAAAGTGAAGCTAAAATCATATTAAAAATCCCCTGATTTTCCCAAAATGCCAGCGTGTCATTAATCACGAGTAGAATTTTCAATTGACTAGGCGATGTACAAACTGAGTTAGTACGTCGCTTTTACAAATTTCCTAATTTGGGAGATATTTTGAAAATTTAACAATAGTTGCACACTTTATATCTAAAAACGAACTTGTTATTCCCGTGATTCTGGGTTCGCCTGACATAGCTACTTAAAGTTATTAGGTGCTGGTTTATAAGTATCCAATAGCTCATTAAGTCATTTGAGTCTTACTAAGTGAAAACTTGATGATATTAACAAAATTGTAAATTAAACTGTCAACGAAAGCAGAAGCTTATGAATTCACCGATCTAAAAGGAAGGAAAGCCGACGCTCAATCAGATCCTCTGCTCAACGAAAACTTTTTATGGTACCCAGAGCATGGCTTTTCTTCAAAAACCAAAAATCTGGTGTTAAGCAACTTAGTTATACGGTCCATGTGGTAAATCGTGTTCAAACATTGTTCGAGTGGTGTTTTTACTACACTCGAGAGCTATGCAACAATTGTTTGTTATTCCATATACAAAGCGATAGATGTATCCGTTTCTCTGAAACAAAAGCGGCCACAAATTGGCTGTCGGTTTTAACTGTCAACTCCGAGGCTGCAAATTTCTTAGGTATTCCTTCCAGTTTCCTGAATGATTCATATCTATTCAAAGGTGTTTTGGAAGGAGGTGTTATTTCGTTTACATGTATCGGCAATGAGCTGGCCTATTCGAGGGCTTACATTTGATCCCACGGTTCTATTCAACGTCTATTAATATTTGCGCAAGGGCAATGAAAAGTGACATTTATGCCATCAAAACAGACGCTTTTTGCATATTCAATTTTGTTTTTTAACTAGTTGTTTGCGTAGCTTACGGATTCTTTTACCATTCATGCACCCTAGTATTTCTTTTACCCCCTTCAAAGTTTTCTTCATAAATCAGTGATGTCTTGAACAATTGCTTTACTGTTTGCATTGTAGCTTCGGTGCGTTTGAAAAATGGTTGTTTTCGAGAAGCTTTTCAAGAAAAGCAATACAAATGCTGGCCGACTCCTTGTCGCCATGTCGTTTAAGTGATGTCATTCTATTTGCACTTTCTATAGGAATTCCACGACGCTTTAAAACTCCAATTTATTAAAAAAATACTTCGGGGGTTCCTTAAAACATAGAAAAATTTTAACTGATCCATAAAATAAGCTTTTTTAAACCGTCTGACCTGGAAACCGTACTAAATGAGAGTTACCCAGCTCTTTCAAACAATTGTGGCCAATCTTGTTACGTGACAAATCGCTGTTCGATTGTTTGTTGAAATGATTAAATGAGTTTTTGAAGTGCTTTTTGTCGGCGTTTCTTAACGAAAACTTGAGATGACAAGATAAATATTTTAAAAGTCGTCTAGGTCACTTAGTTTGAGAGACCTTCCCAAGTGACCTCAAAGAAATAGTGAGTACAACCATAACTCATCTGTTTAATATTTTTGCAACATATTCATAGGAAAAAAAATGAAAGAAATATTTTTAACTAGAAATTAATGTAGTTATTTAAATTTTTTCTATGTTTCATTTTGTGCTAGTTGTATTTAAAATTATAACAGAAGAATTATTAGAGACAAGGGTCTTTCTTACCAGCTCATGTTGAAAGTTTGAAAGTCGAGCTTTTAGATACGAAATTTAAGCAGTTTTGTTTCTTCATGATGTAAATTTGAAATCTAAGGCTTCGTTTGAGTCTTCAAAATATATAACTCATTGTTTTTTTGGATACCTAACTTTGATCATAATAACCTACTTTGACGCTTGTTTGGCGATTGAAAGGAGTATCTGTCATGATTCTGTTACTACAGAGGAAGGTACGAAACATGCATAATTGACTTGTTCATAACATCTTGGTAAACAGGAAAAATTATTTACAATTGGTCGAGAGGAAAAAATTCGTTCATTGAAGAATTGGAAAATGAAGTATTCAATCAAGAACATTTTGGATTACTCTCTCGAAGATTTTAACTTTCCACTTAGTTGTTTTGGTTTGTGTGAATGGCCTCACAACCCTACTTTGCTTATTGAAGAAAAATTCGTCTGGTAATTTGAAAGGGGGATGTCAACTCGAAAGTAATGAAGAAAATCTCTCGGCCTAATGGTGGTGCGTGAAAAAATTTAGGTGTTTTTGAAGTCTGTTGAAATATCATAACACTTTTTCGTCTACAGTTGCGGTACAGATCTATGGCAAAACAATACCCTCCGAGGTCCCATTGAAAACAGGTCGCGTTCATGACGTCAGTCATGTGAAAAACAGAATGCTCATATAAACAATTGACCGGTCTGGCCTTTTATCATAAAATAGTCTTGTGACTCGGGAACACTTTTGTAGCTGTACCGATCTTCCCTTTTTACAGGATAGTTTATTTACTTGTACGTGAACACAGTTGAAATTTTTAAATCGGCCATGTCAAATCTTTTAATGTTACATGTTGTTGCCGTTCATACAACAGGCAGTAAATCACTCGTTGAGCTCAGGTAATATCGCGAAGACTACAGACATTATTAACATTTTAGAAATATCATTGAAGTTTCCATCTACTTACTAAGGGATAGTCTCTTTTGACTCAAGCTTTACTCACTTGTTTTGGTCTCTGATCGTGTTGAATTATTGAATCTTAGATCTCAGGGTGACCAGTCAACGGAATTACTATCCTTGGAACATCTTAGTGACAAAGGAACACTTGAACCTGACAAACCATCTTCACGCACACGACCTCTTCGTCGTTCGCACACGGACCCCACAGACTTGCTTTGGGTATTTCGTAGACGTGCATCCTTGCTTGCACATAGAGTTCATCAAGACCTTGCTTCATGTGAGAATACGAATGAATACAATGACCCCTATCGAGATGAGAACGTTGAAGAAAACTGCAAGGCCGTGACTGAGCAAGGATTCAGTAAAGATATTCCTGACAAGGTAAACTTATTAATGACGATGGCAGTTTCACTTACACCTCATTAATTTGGTTTATTTTCATTACAAGTTGGTTAATTTCAACCAAAGCGAATATTTTAGCTTCAAAAGGTTATAATAGGGTCTCACTTTGCACAAGTAGCCTGAATACCCATTGTATTAGACGTGGTACTTAGATCGTTATGAAAATTATTAACCATTCAGGTTGGTATGTAAACAACATCTCAGCGAGATATATTAGCATCATTGAAGACTTTTGAACATAACTGAGATATAACATGGATACAAAACTTTCGATAAAGATTCGGCTAGACGTACAAAATATAATTCTCTTACACGAAGGGTTGTTTGCTAATCGGCGGTACTAATTTAGTTCATAAATGTACCATGTAAGCCCTCTTGTATTGACAATTAGGCTTAATAGCAAGTACTTAAGATTGTCTAGTCTGGAACACATTGGCTGATAATCTACATCTTTTTCGCGATTAACCTTCCTTATAAGAGCGAATTTTTAGAGCCACTAAAAAAAAAAAAGTTATTTGCGCCGAGCCACAGTTTCTCGACGTCGTTCTGCTACGCAATGGTATGATCTCATTACCGCACTTATGACCAAACTGTAAAAATGCATCATTCGTTCTGATGCCACTATTATCTGGAAATTCTGGAAAACTGATGAAAAAAAGGGGCATTACCTCGTAATTAACCAAAGGAATGTTACCTTTATTTTGGTAAAGCTTCAAGGCGCCAGAATGTCAAGCAATTATAGGTTCCTTTGAGTTGAAGGTGGAAGAAACCAAATCTATACAGACAAACTGCTTTGTATTTCTCGTCAACTATTGTAAATTCACAGACAAGAGTTCCTTAGCTACGGACATAGGGCTGATGCGCGTTCTGAACACTATAAATCTTGGGATTTGTCTGACCATAGTTATATGTAGAGGATTTTGTTACTTAAACACTGAGGTTCAATCGCATCTCTTTTTGAAACCGTTCACAGTTCCTAAGATTACCAAAATAGAGCCGCTTCATTGTCATCATTGCCGTACATGTGTATAAGGTGCAGGATTTAGAACCTCAGACAATTGTTCCGCTCCGAAAGCACGCGTTTACTTTGCAGAACTTACAAATCAAAACAATTAGAGATCATTGTGGAATGCGAACTGAGATTCTTTGCGGATTAGCTATTGAAATACAAGAAATTCTTTTTGTTTGCAAATTGTGAAAAGTTTCCAGATTAGTGGATACCACTGAGCCAAGAATAAAAGACGTAAGCTCTTAAACGAATGTAATAAAAGATTCTCATTTCACCTTTGTCTTACTTTTATAGAGTTTTAGTTCTTAGTTCTATGTCGCAGTGGGGGTCCGTGGATCAGATTCGAGTAACTAAAGAAAACCTTTGTACTCTTTTTAGTTTTTGTTTCTTGGGAGATTTATGGCAGCTGTATTCTGTTGAAATAACTGGTGTTGATATAAGCTTCTTAGGACATTAAGAGGCTTAGATGGATAAACCAAGAGCAATTTGCCTTCATAGGATTAACTACCACTTGTAACAGTTTCAAGGGATCGCGCCAAAGTGCTTTGCTTTCGACCAGTCTAGTGTAGGATGATTTCTTACATTCTTCTATATTGGAATAGCTAGTAAAAAATTTGGAAGGTGTTCAGCTTTAAGTCATTGAATAAACAATTGCGAGGAGACATTATTAAAAATTAATTAATTATCGAACTCATCATAAATTTTTGTGACTGTAGGGTGTTCCAAGTCAATAAATCGTTGCATTGCCTTTCAGTCGATAAGGCGGGTGAGAAGATGTCACATTTGAGGAATGAGATCACATGTCTCCTACAAAGCATGATCTTATTACCTAGAAGCGTAATCTCGTTATTAGAAAATTATTTAAGCTGTCATGATTATAAGATTACAAACCCTTAAAAGAGAGAAAGGGAAGAGGACAGATAGAGGTTTTGCTTTGTTTGTTTGTTCATTTTTTTAAAGTTTGTTGATGAGGCGCGGAGCAGAAAGGAAGGTCTCAAGTTGGTAGAGAACTTTCAGCGTACCGTATTTCTCCTCCAGACTAAGGCCCAGGGACTTACTTAAAATTTTTGACTTTTGGAAATGACTTGAAGGTGCTGATTCCGCTTTAGCTGAAGCTTGAAGAGTTATGAATAAAGTGGCAATAGAACCAGGTTTTCCTTGTATCCCTACTGTTTGAGAAAGCGAAGGACGGGGGGGGGGGGGGGAGGGCGCTTATCCGATTGGTTTGACATCATGACCTTAGGGGTGGGGGCCTTTTTGGGGAAGGGAACACGGTAGTTTGGCTCAGTGCTGAAGGTAACATACAGTAGACCAGCAAACCATAGCAAAGGGGCGAAATAAAATTACTGACTAGTTTTATGTAACTTCATGACGAGGAATTCGGCTGATTACGAGCCAGACGAGCTAAGGACAAATCTTTCCTTTCAGTGTTACACCGAAAACCTGCACTTTTCATTCAGAGATAACCCTAGGGCAATTTTCAATTTCATTATCTTTAAAAATAAGCGTAATTCCTAAAGTTTTCCAGACTGAGCGAGAGCTCACCAGTCTTTTCGCACCCACGGACGTCTCTTACTTAGTCGATTCGTACCTCGCCAAGAGCTGAATTGTTTCATGCTCATATAATTAAATATCTTTCCATATTTAGTACGTTTAAAGTAAAACAAAAATCACACCTACCTTGCGCGAGGCACTAATTAGCTATTATTGTTAACAAAGTCAACAGACATTGTATACACAACATTCAATATGCGTTTAAGCGCTTACTCGTTAGGCCTAGGTCTTTCATGAGATCTCCTGGGATTTGATCGTTACTTTATGAATGTTGAGACGGGTTCGAATCGACCTATGGGTCGGACATAAACCAATATAAACTGGGTATATTTGTATCTGGGCACGAATTGACTGAGTACGAAACGTTTGTGAGTACGAAACGAGGGGATACCGAGTGGGGAATCTTATCCACTGTCATACTTGCGCCCAACCGATGTCTGTCCCAACTGAGGCATCGGTCGAGCTCCAAGGAATCTTTAATATAGATAAAATTAACCCTCTGCGATTGCTTTAATGACTTAGCTGTTGGATACAATAAGTCACTCATCAGTTTGCCGCTAAATAAACACAACTTACCTATTTTTAATTTTTCAAAGAGCATCCTCTCCACCAAATTAAACCCTATCATCCGAACCAAAATTGTCAATTGAATAGGAGAAAGTTCTTGAATCTGTTCTTGTTTTGGGTGGATGTACGTGACTTTCAGGTTTCAAAGCACAACTGAAGTTGTTCTTCCGGTGACAGAAACTCTACGCTGATATGATTGGAGCCTCAGGGCTTAGAGACAATGGCCTGTGACTCCCATCACGTCATCATTAATGGATGTGATGAAAAGGAATATTTTCACTACACTCCCATAATAATTTCGTTCGAGGACGCACAACTCGAAATGTGTGTTCGCAAGTCGCCTATACTTTCCTTTGCAAATTTGAATTAATTTTCAAAATTTATTTCAAAAAGAATGCAGGTGCTTTTTTGCTTTGATTCACAACTAATTAGCGGTCGAGTTTTAAGTACATTTGCATTTAACCTCTTCGGATAAATCATGCAATTTTCAATTCTCTTATAGACACAGTACCCGCGTTCGCAAGATAACGATCCAAAGGAGCCCGTCGTGAACGAAGAAAGGTTAAAAGAATCCAGCAGTGACAGTGAGTCAAGGGACACTGCTTACGAATGGACTATTACGGTGAGCAAACGCAGTTTTAATACCGTAATTTCTGTTTAAATGATTGCAAACAGTCCATCACTACGCCGTCTCATTGATGAAGTGCAGTCGACCCCGACAAGTGCCACCAATCTTTATAAACCCAAGAAGGGCGATGAAAGACAAAACGTGTGAACGATGTTTATGCAACAATGTTTATTATTTAGTCTTCACTTTTCCAAAATAACTGCTCTTAATCATTAAAACAACTCTATCGCGCTAAATTACGAAACAAAGCCGTCATGCACAATGACCATAGATGTAGCCTATGTGACACCTCTCAATGTTATTGAATTCGTCATTATTGACTTACTTTTATTTGAAAGTGGCTTAAAGATAATCCCTAACGTATGTTGACGGAATGATCGAAGTGGGCACGGAAGGCGGCTAGACGAAATGTGTCCAATTTTTGACCAATTATCGAGGCGATGACTAACAACATTGATTGATTTTTTTCAATGAACTGAGAGCAAAATCGTACTAGTCAATTCGCATTTATATCTCTGAAATACACGGAACGCTATCCTCGTCTATTGTGGCGGAAGAAATGACACAGACTCTTAGTGACGTCACGAAAAAACAAAGCGCGTGGGTTGGAAAGCAATGTTGCGCGAAGCATGTACGAGGAAGTCGTCTTGGAATATCCGAGTCTCTTGCAATGGGTGGGTTTCAACCGAGATGTAAAAGCAACAATTCTTGTGCAATCGATAAAACGAGCAACTGAGGAGGTAGAATTTTAATTCGTGATCGACCTTAGGCTGATTAATTAGTATCAGTTATGCGAGAAATGCTTTCAAAAGTGCAGTTATTCAAATGCAGCGACGCGACGATACAAAACAAATAAACAAATGAATACGACTGAAAGAATGTGAACTTATGAAAAAAGCTCACTTACTTGAGGTCCTCAAGTGTTATCAGAGCTTCTCTATGTTTATGACTTCCTGTAATTAATAGGTGAAACGAGGTCCTGTCGGGAATCGATTTGCAATGCTGAACTCTTGCTGAGAGGAAGTATAGTTAGAGAAAAATTTACCTTTCCGTCTAATTTTACGTGCGAGAATCATCATGTAGCGAAAAAAAAAATATTTTGGGAAAATAACAAAAACAAGAGGGTATGAATCAAATGATACTAGTCGATGGAAGTAGATGAAACAATCCACGGTACGGCACGTCCTTCCAGTATATTGAGTAAGGTTTCGACCTCCTATTATGACATGATGTGATATCCCAAACGGTATGCCAATCTATTTTTACCTGTTTGAAAGACATATCTCTGTGATTTCATATCTAGTCAGATGCAATTGGTGTTAGCCTTCCAAAGGACGTTCTTTCTGGTTTAACAATCAAAGTCGGCGTGAAACTTAAGATTTGACCCGGCCTGGAACTTACTGATTACATATTTGTTCCTTTTCTTTTCGGAAAGTTGGTCCACTCTGGTGTCGATTGCTAAACAAACTGTGCATCACCCTAAGTAAACTTTGCGTGCTTCATGACGTGTCAGGAGGGCCAAAAAAACGCTATCTTGACAGCATATACTCTCTTGGCGAATTCCTTTGTCACCCCTCATGTTTTTTTTAGGTCAGTGAGCGATTCATTTAAAACCAGAGAGTGGTGTCATTGTTCACGTCATTCGAACTTGTTTTCAAAGGAACTTCGACTCGAGTTACTAAAAATGAAACAAAGCGCTTCAGTCCTGGGAGAACGCAAATGTGTTCAATAGTTCAGTGACGGTGTGATTGTTTGTCGCGATTGCCGCTCAATTGGCACCTTTCGAATTACAGTATAATTGCTTAGAAGTGTCTACGGTGAATTCAGAGTTTCCTTCCTTGTTACATCTGTGATAATGAGCTCGCTTCGCCGTCGACAAAGCCATCCGAGGCCTCATGTGTCGAGATCTGCATCGGACCCTTCAAAATTGCAGGTAAAAAAATCAAAGTGGTGATTTTTGTTTACTCTTTTTAAGAGTTCGTCGAGTGGCCTTTTTGTCTTAGAATCGATAAAGAGAACAGAGATGAAAACATTTCTTTGTAAATGAATAGCCTTTGAAGAATTCAGCGAGACGACAGGAAACCACTGTGTAACGTTATTCTGTTTCGAAGTTGACTCTTTTAAACAAGTCAATGATCTGGAGGAGTTAATCTGCGAAAATTATCGAAGAAGAGAGAAAGCGAAATTGAAGACGCAGGTTTTAAAATATCAGGCAATGTGTTCCCTGTCTCATGCCATTATCTCTGATTTGTAGCCAAATATGAGTTAAGACATGGTCCCGCCTATTTAATACGAGTGTTATTAGTGAATAATCCATGGAACTTTGACAAACGTAGATAAGTAAATTGCCTTCTGCATGTTTTTAAAGATAAAAATGTAGGTCAAATACAATAGAACTATAATTTCATCCAGTGCCTCTAACCTTTCTAGGTTTTGATTACATAGACAACAGACAGGTATTTAATGGGATCTTGCAATCGGCTATTACAGCCAAGCTCTTTTTCCTTTTTCTCTAAGATGAGTATAACACCTGGAAAAACACTCTCTATGATTGCTCGTAAACAAATATTTCCTGATTTAATTTGTTATTTGTTACTACACTTCATTTTATTCTCTGCATGATGAATTAAAAAAAAAAAATATAATAATTTTTTTTCAGCCAATAAAACATCATGATCCTCTTCCACGGCGCAAGATCTCGGCGCCTGCTTACCGTCCGGGTCGCACTCAGATGGCAATGCCTACAAATCGTAGAGCAAGTGTGGCGGTGGCCCCCCGGCGTATCAATAGAAGAGGAAGTGAGGTTTGTATGGAACTTACTTAGATTTTAAAAACGGGCTGGGGTTTTTTAATTCATTATTTCTTCATCATATTCACTGGGGAAAGATAACCCGGTCTGAAAAACTATGGTATGGCCAAATGGTAGAGGGATACGGTCTTGAATTTGACCAAATTAAACTTAGCGATTCTTGGCCTTTGAAGAGCCAAACAAATTAAATTTGTAAAATTGAAGAAACTTATTGATAATCGGACGAGATTAACGTACTATTTCGCTGAAGTTTATTTATGGTAAAATGAAGAGAACACTTGACCAGGAGTGTCAAGGAATAATTTTGCTTCAAAGGGCGCTCATTCGGGGGCTGATTCTATTTCAGTAAATACGGTAAACATGAGTGTGTGACCTAAAACAATTCTGCCAAGGTTGATTGTTTCATTAAGTGAAATACGTAAAAAGATGACCAATTAATGAAAAAAACCTTGATTTTTTTCGTGGTCTCTTGCCTTTTTGATTGCTTTAGTCAACATGAACATTTATTACGGGATTTCGGAGCTAAATGTTTTAACGAATTCGATCTACAGACTGGTCACGTTTCACCAAAAGGGGGCGTATCGGAACTCCCCAAGAAACGTGAACATGTCGAGGGTGTCAAACGGGAATTTATCATATCCGGATGCAAAATCCTCAAAGTATCAAACTCTGCAAAGTTCATACTCAGAAAGCACAAAATAATGAACTGTACAACTACGTTGCCTAGACACTTACCTGGATGTGGCTGGGCAATTGACATACGTGAGTTGTCGTAGCATTCAGAAAACGTCCGATGAACCACATACTTAGGCATAAATACGAGGGCTGCACTCAAACTGCCGCTCTATAAAAATTATCTTTCGCTTCTGTAACGCAAGCTTTTGCAAACGGCTGAATAATCTATTATTGCTAACGGCAGAGGCATTCTATGTTTACAAGAGAACTCAGTTGAGGGACAGAGGGCACGCGAAAAAGAGCAAAATATCTTCTCAGTTTCATGTGACCGTTTGGAGCTTAATCGTATTTCAAAAACACAAGAGTGAATTCTAGTTAGTTCGGCTGAGTTTTTTTCTTAAATTGCTGTTCTCTAAATTCAAAATAGTACTACGGACAGGAAATTCCAGTTTTTTCCTTTTATTTTTGGCTACTGCTTTTCCTTCAACTTAATCAAATTGTACCTACTTTTTTCACAGTAGGCAGCATCAATCCCCCACTTCCTCTTAAAACTTTGACAATTTCTTCTTCTCGGGTTCTGTCCATAATCAAGTTCCACGAGTCTTTTCTAAACCGGATCTTCTCAATTGATCCCAAAAAAGAAGCACAAGTTTCTTCGCTTAAGTTTCAGCGCCTCCGACTCAAATTACCTCATCCAGCTGAAAAAGGCGCTTTGACGTCAAGCTGGCGGTTTAAGTCTTTCAGCTTTTCACGTACATTGTTTATTATATTTTCTTTTTCGTCTACAAATAATTGCCACTTCGGTTGAGTAAACAGCGACTGCAATTTGCGTTGAACATATTTAAGAGCTCTCTTGGGAGGTGCGTTGTCTTGGTTTTCATTCTTAGGGGATCAAATAAACATAAAAGGAGAATGGACATAAAAATTCGAATTTATGTGCACATGGAAAGGGCTGCTATGATCCTTCACCGATAATCACGTCGTCTGCTATGGCAGAGACAATTCACTTGCCGTTCATCGGCCACTTCACCAGCGACTTAGCGAAATGGCTATTCGAGTTGATAATTTTAAGGGAAGCAATCTTCACAGAAGAACAGGTATAGTGACGAAATTATTTTACTTGTTCGAATTAACTCGCGCTCAGAATAGCGGTAATAACATTAGACTTCAGTTACTAAAATAACAGAGCTGAACACAGCTGTTGCAGATTAAGGTCAGTTGGAAGGTTTCTACATCTCACACAAGTTTCTCTCCAGTGCTTGAAGCAGAGATCGTACTATTTATCTTATTTGCTTAGAGCTCTCATCATCTTTCATTTCAACTGAAAAGACCTGGACTTGCACAAGCACCTATATGCTCGTGTTAAGGTTATGAAAAGGACAAATGATTCTTAAGTAGAAAAAATTCGTCTTGTAGTCTCGTTCTACTACAGCCGTGGAAAAAAAAACGTCTCTGTTCTACGAAGACTTGCGAAATTGTACTCATAATTTTAAGGTGCTCCATTCTAACACCGTTCTGTTGATTACTCTGGGAAAATTTGCAGATTAAGCAATCAGACTTTTCCAAAACCTTGCCTTGGCTACCTACGTTTCTCAAGCTTCGCAACAAATTAACAGCCACAGATTTTTTTTTTGGTCAGTTTCTGTGGCTGGATTCCTTTAATTGTCTTCGTTATCCGCACATAACAAAACTAAGGGGCGAACGTTTAAAGTATCATATTATTTAAAGAAAAAAAAATTATTTACAGGAGAAGGGGTGCAAAGCTGTCTCTTGGCACCGAAGCATACTGCAGTTCACCTATGAATAAAGTTTAGAAATCTTTGGTGTTATGTAACTTAGTACTTCGTAAAGAGAACTAATCTTACGCTTTTTTATGAATCGCGTTCCAATCATTGTCAAGTGGCCCATGGGACAAAGACTTTTCAAAGTATGGAGTCACTGGTCTAGAGCATCGTGAATTTTCAAGCAGAATAAGATAGAAAAAGTTAATTTTTTTTAAATTGTTTGAAAGCTTTTGGAAACAGAGGTGTTTTCTGAACCGCTCTTGATAGGCAAACACGACCGAAATTTGGGAAATTAATTAAATAATGGCTAATCTTTTTTTTTCCGAGCTAAGTCTACAAAATGGCATAGGAAATTGTTATGGAGATTAGAGATTAATGCCGTCAGTTTGTTCCTAATCGAGGAAAAAAAGACAGAAATCGATAGAAGAAAAGTACATAAGCAAATGGACAGAAAACCAAATAAAAGGTTAATAAAATAGAAAGAAGGGAAACATTACGTTGGACAGATATGATGAATGCTTCTGAAAATATTTGTTGCAAGAGCTTAAACCACTTAGGTAATTGCTAATCTTTTTTTTGCTTTTTTGAGCCAAGTCTACAAAATGGCAAAGAAAGTTATTACGGAGATTAGAGATTAACGCTGTCAGTCTTTTCCTTGTCGGGAAAAAAGGCAGGAATCAAAAAATAAAAGTACTAAAGCAAACAGCCAGAAAGCCAAATAAAAAGATTGATAAAAAGGAAAAAAGGGAAACATTATATGTGATAGATATGATAAATGCTTCTGAAAACATTTGTTGCTGGACCATAAACTACTTAAGCAATGGCTAATCTTTTTTTTTGAGTCAAGTCTACAAAATGGCAAAGGAAATTATTGTAGAGATTAGAGATTAATTTTTCGGTTTCTTTTAAGTCGGGAAAAAAGACAGGAATTGAAAAGAAAAGTATACAAGCAAACAAACAGAAAACCAAATGAACAATTTGATAAGAAGGAAAAAGGGACACATTATGTGAGATAGATATGATGAATGCTACTGAATAAATTTGTAGCAGGATCTAAAACTATTTACTTCCAAGGTCTCGATAACTTTGTTCACATCACTGATAACCTTTATTTCTCTTGAGATGTGTACAATTTTCTTTATTCTCTTTAAACGACCATATAACAGTTGCTGAAATTGTTAGTAAAATTTGCTAACGAACCGATGAGCTTGTGATAAGGTTTTCAACTCTAATTTGTGTGCACGTAAATTCTGTATTGTAATACTGTACTCTATTGTATTACCTTGCACGTGCATAAAAACGTGTATGCAAATTTGCAGTGCCTTTAACCATTTCAATATCGACGCAATATTTTGCATTTGAAACTTTTTACGGTGGCCAATTTACTTTGTCACCTCGTTGATAATACTAGATTACCCTGTTATACTCTCCCACCGACGCAGCTCTACTATTTCTGTAGAAACTTACTCACTTTATTCAATGTTATGTAATGTATGGTTGTCGATAGCATAATTTAAAGCTAAGTAGCTCATAAGCACTTAGTACTTATTTTCATTCAACTCTTTAGTAAGAATTGCACGACACCAATTCCAAGCTATTTCTGTCACGAACAAGTTTATTTTCTTGGTATGACATTTAATACATACTGTAGAAACATATGCAAAGCTCCTAGGCCGATGAGATATTTCTCCTCAAATGACCTTGCAGACCTAAAAGAGGTAAAATTGGGTGTCTGGGGGCAAATCATGTTTAGTGTTTAGGTTACCATTTATTTTCCTTGTTTGTTTTTATTTTACCTTTCTTTCTTTCTTTCTGCCTTTTTTTCCACTCAAGCATAATCATAAGCTAATCTGGTAGAAGTGTTACAAGTTCTTCAACAAGTTATATTTAGTAGACTTCTACTTTGACTGTTTGAAGCTAACTATTTCGTTTTCACAAGGAACAAATTTCCTGTTTCTAGAAAAAGTTTAACAACAAAAATTTACGATGTCTTTCAGTCCTCACATGACTCTCGCTTAGCAACTTTTTCAACATGGAAAAGTGTATACATTTTCCATGAAAAGTGAGTCATCGCAGCAATCTTCGTTAAGCAACTGTCTCGTTATATTCTTCGTAACTACCGGAAATGGATTTTTTGATCGGCAATTCTAATAGTAGCGGTTGATATATTTTTGAATTCACAGGTATTTATTTCATCGTATTTTCGACAAAGAAAAAAGGCAAATATCACACTAAGAAAAACCTCGCGGGTTGGACCTTTATCATGTTTATGAAAGGTGCATGTCAATACTTAAAATCACGTGCTTTTCATATAATTCTGTAACCCAAAACTTCGAAAGTGTTGAGGTGAATTTAAGTAAAAAATGTTTTTCAGCAAACGCGTTATTCCAATGATATGTTTTTTACTCGTTGCTGGGGAACCACTTCAGCAACTGCTAAAAGTATAAGCCACTTAATTGTTGACGAATCGTCTTTGTCAAGCGACCTAGAAAACGTCATGCTCGTTAAACTTCAAGTGCCACAAGGGGAAATATTAAAATTCATCCCAGTGGAGTCATTGGCCGTGGGTAATGAGATGACGACACCGGATTTTTTTTCACAGGAAAGTCTGTTAGATGCGTTAGCTCTTCCTATCGTTTTGTCGTGAAACTCTGTGGTTATCCTGTTGGATACGGAGCGACAAACAGCTCAGAGGCGAACGATTACAAGATTAATAGGAGATTTATTTTGTGGTTGATTCTAACTGAGTATTCATATCGTGAAATTAAATTAAACAACGAGGCAGACAGTGGCTTGTAAAACAGGACACCGATGTTGGGAATTGAGGACGATTCTTTCATTGACTCGGGATCGGTATGTTATTCGAAAACATGCATCGTTGCCGTATTTTGTACGAATATTACATTATATATTGTAATGAATTATTCTAAGTGTTTCGATCAGAATTGCAATAGGTTTTTTTTCGCAGTTTCAAACATGTTAAAGACCTAAAACTGTTCATGCATGGTTCGTCATTCACTGCACGCAAAGCATTACTTTTGAAAGGTCACTTTAAAATAAACGAATTGATGGATTTTAAATTTGTAGCAAGAGCTCGCTGACAAAACAGAAATTTCCTTGAATGGGAATTTAATATTGCTCCTTAATTATAGCTAAACAAACTGAATTTAAAATGTAGACTAAATGGCGCCCAAAAACCATCAAAACGTGGCGTCATGCAGTGTTCCAACCTCTTCCACAAAATAATTTTCCCACTATGTTAAAACACGAAAGCGTTCTTTTTATTTCTGGGATTTAAAAAGCAATATCATAATGATGCATTTTATACCCATCCAATACTATGACTACTTCTCCGTTCCGAGAACACCTTACGACGTGGAAAGAAATGACAATGACGTATCCAAACCAGTCGGAAGACACTTTAATCTCCCTCATCCAAAACAGCATATGGCAGTTTGCGTCCTTTCCCTACACCTAGGCAGTTCGGAGAGCCGAAAAACTCTAGAACATAAATTTATTTGTCAAATCGGCACCCTTAATCCCCACGGTATCAACGAGAGCTTTTTATTCAACAAATTTACTCTCGTTTTCTCGTCACCATATTCCCACCAATAGCATATAATAAACCCAATAGCGTATATAAACCCATTTTCAGTTTCTCCAATTGTTCTGACGAAGGGCTAACGCTCGAAACGTCAGCCTTTAAACTCTTTACGATGGCCTATTTACGTTTTCAACTCAGTTGTTAACACTAAATTATGCTGTTATACTCTCCCACCGACGCAGCACTGCAGTTTCTTTAGAAACTTACCTCTTTATTCATTTACCTATCCGTTTGTTTTGCATCTGCTGAATTCACCCATCGTTTTTCATTCCCTATTGTATAAGCATCTTCCGGAATTATTCAGATTGAAAACTTTAAAAATCAAATTTACCGTTGCAGCACCTATCTGGTAAAAATAACCCGCTATTTGAAAATTCAATTTACAGATTGTTCAGGTTTTGCGCTCGTAAATTAAATTTTGGATTACGATGTGGTAGTCTACTTGTAAACGGTTGGGTGGTCACTTAACCCTTTCACAGTAAAACGGCTTGAAGTCATTACTTAATGGTCAAAATATGTTAACAATATCAATCCTTATCTAAGAAACCAAGTGAATCGGGGACAAGATGGACCATTCAAACAAAAAGTATCCATTTCCAGCCTAATGATCGCAATCACTCTGTGAACTGACTTCCGCCAATTACATCCGTTTCTGTTTTGTGATCAGTGTGCCGCGATATACCACGCATCCGTTGTACACGATATACTGAATCACATGGTGACATTAATTTATTCTGTTTCAGGCACCAGCTCTTACCGTCATTGCAAGACGACGAAATTCGCAAGTGGCATATCCAGTGGGATTGAGAAGAAAATCATCAAGAGCTGCCGGCGCAGGTAAGAATGGAGGGTTAAGTTCTCTTTCTGGACATTTTCTTCTGCAAGCCTGCGAGCGTACAGCTATTGTTAAGAAATACAACAAAAAAATTTAGAAGATCAGGCAAAGTTGTTTTGATTTATGTCCCTAAGTTATGAACCACACGTTTTCTGGTTTCAAGGTTATGACAAGTTCTCCCACGAAAGACACTGTAACAATCATTGTATTCACTCAATTCAAAATAATTTAATCAGTTTGGATTTCTTCGGTTTCTGAATCGACTAACAAACGTGACTTATTTGGCAACTACAAGAACACAAAATCATTAAACTGATCCTCCTTCTTAAAACATTGCCTCCGTAGCTAAATATTGATAAATATCCAACAGAAAATGACGGTATATTTTAAAATTGTAAGTAAACATGAACGATATTGATGTACATTAAGGGAAAAACGTCTTCTCGTCGGAAGGAGATCGAAGGAATGTTGGCAATAATTGTTATGGTCTCGTGTGTTACATGTAACTTACTCGAGCACACTCAAGATTATTTTGTGAAATGCCTCTTCGCGCGCGTTATGGTCTCGTGGTGTGATTTTGTCAACGTTGACTTCACTACATTTTTTTTTCTATCGAAGAATGTGAAACCTAAGAACCCTTTCCTATCCAACACTGTGTTTTTGGAGGGTGGCGGTCTATGATTGTTTATCAAAATCCAATAGCAATAGACAGGGAATTACGATAAATATTTCATGACCGCAAATGATTTCTCGCGGCTAGTATCACGAAAATCCGTGAGGAGGCAATTTTAAGCGACGACAACTTGCGTGATCTCGTGTTTTTATTTCACGTGTTGCCGTTGTCATTTAGCACTGTTCTAGATCAGTCATTATTGTTTCATATGTTTTTATTCAGTATGCTACATTCGAGGTGTGTTAATTAACACATCGTGGCTTGGGTTAATATCATCGCTCTCTAGGAAACAAGATTAACTTTTCTTTTAATCTAAATTATTCCGTGAAATTGCGATTGAAATGAATAGAATGAAAAAATATTACTAAAGAAAAATCTTGGAAGTGATATTCGATCGGCTTCAGAATCCATAGGAGAGAAACAATAGATTGTTTTCAGTCAAGTGAAGGTAGACAGATACTCTCTTGATTTGCGATATTTTGAAGTTTTATTTGAAATAACTTTTACAACACTCGCCGATTTGTGTACAAGGCGATGATTTGACCCTAATGATGCAGAATAAGCAGATAGGTACAATCATCTGAAGAAAATCACGCAACGTTTGGAACACACGCAGAGTCTTAGAGCCATATTTACTGTTTTTTACTCCACTTTGGTTAACCTTGAATCTAACCATGCATCGGGCCGATCTCGATAAGCATGCGCACTAAGAGAGCTCATATATCCAAAGGTCAAGTAGAATCCCATGTTGTCTTCTTTCACAGATAATCATCTTAGTATTCAAGCAAAAGCCAAGCATGAATTGTTAGCCAACCTAGTCCTTCCAGCCTGCGTCGACCAACCTCCAAGAACGAGAGAAAGAAGAAACACTTTTACCTTCCAGGCATCCAGTATGCGAACCAAGAAAGACGGTATGTATGCCTCATAAACTCCATTCTGTGCCAAATGGGTGATGTCGAGAGAAAGGAGCTGTAGAATCACCACGATCGTTGCGTTAGTCAAATGGCTTCTTTCTTAATTTCTTGAGATAAGAAGCCACCAAACCTTTGGAGATCAAAATTTTCAGGAAAATAAGTGTGATGTATAGGCTTTTACTTGCGTCTTCCTCTCTCCAACAGCAAACTTTCTACAACGGCCTGGCTTGATGTCGGCGTGATGTTGAATGCCCGTGAACAGTATTATTACTCAAACAAACGCTGCGCCAATTTGCGCCATCCCCTCACCTGAAACTTAGATTTCCAAGGGCAGAATTTTTTCGCTGTCACAGGTTCATCGTTTTAAAGATGTTCAACTGTTCGTGTAGTAAACAAAGAGTCCCTGAATGAGTGCAAAGAAACTCGCACTCAAGTGAACACAGATTTGAGAAAAAAAATTGTTTTTGCAGTTTATTAGGAAACATCGTAAAATGCGACCAAACGCCACTAGAAGATGAATTAGGAAAAAAACAACTGTGACGAACTAACGTTGCTCTGTAAACTAACTAATTAAACTAATCGTTCCCCGGAGAGGGAAGGAATGCACAAATTCACCTAATAAATTATTTTTTTTTTAGCTTACTTATATTGTATGAGTGTACGTCTACATCCGTTTGCCTATATGTCTGTCATTAATTTCCTTCATGATAACTTTTGATTAAATTTGATTGCAACATCTGTTGTAACAGCTAATGATTTATCTTCAAGGCATATCTCCTACATTGCATTGTTCTAAAAAATTTACGAGGAACTGTTCAAACAAGCACCTCTACTAAAGACTGGTAATATAGCATGTGCATCGCAAGCGTCGTTCTAAGAAACTTATGAAAAATCTTATGGCAAAGTTGAAGATTCATCAGATTTTAACCACTTAAAGTAACACATGGTGGGAGCTTAAGAAAGCTCGTTAGTACTTTTTCCCACAAAGATTTTGTCCCACACTTAATCATAAGCCGGAAATGTATTTGATTACCTATGTAAACTAATTATTAAACTTTTTGTTCGGTGTTTTTGCTCTGCTTTTTTGTTCGTTTGTTTTCCTCCTTTCTTCTTCATTATCCTTCATTATCATTGTTACTGTTATAATTATTATTTTTATTGGTGTGTTCATTTTTTTTATTTATCATGTAAAATAACTGCTACCAAATTAAAAATGTATTCTCAGTAAACCTCCAGACGATTAATCATTGGTTGGAGACATGACAAAGTTGTTTACGTGTCTGCTTCAAATACCATTCAGCCAACTTGTCTGTGTTTTGTTTTCCAATACAGAAAAGAGATATCAGGTTGCTAAAGAGATCTTAGAGACAGAAAAGAAGTATCTCTCTTGTTTAAGGACTCTTAAAGAGGTAAGATTCGCACTCCATGGTTGTAAATCCTAATGAATAAACTAGTATTTCAAACTTATTAGTCCATTAATAAAACGTCGTCTTTCAATATCTTATATGATTACCTCCTAAAAAGCAAAACCAAACTTATTCACACTTACCTTTTAAACATTTTGAAAAGAAAAATTTTCACCATTTGAATTAAATTATGCCTGAGATGCATTCCATTCCTTTAATTTTTCCACAACGAGCGAGTGTGAAGGATTCTTGAATTGCAATATTTTACAGTGCACCTTTTAAAAAGGTCTGCTCACTACTATACAAATTTGATATTTTACTTCTAGGTATTTGAGGAACCAATGAGAGAAAGCAATTTAATGTCTTCCAAAGAAATTGAGTAAGTGCAGTTACAAATGGGTATTCAAATATATCATTAGTAATGACCATTAGAAGTGTAATAATGTTAAGTACTGATTTGCTGCTTGAATGTAGAATACACAGTGGTCATCATTTTCGTAGATGTTTTTGTTCTTGTTTTTGATGGTTATCTTAAGTTATCTTATTCTGTAAACCTTCTCCATTACTTTCTGGCCAATAATTCGTAAAGCACGTTCGTTTATTCCTAAAATGAAGGTTTAGTTATTTTGTTGTGTCATGAGGGCAAAGCCGCCAGAAATGAAAGAGAGAAATAGCCACTTTGAGTTCTCTAAAAACCCGCACTTCGCAGACTACTACTCTGAGCTCAGTGCCAAGTCTATGCAAGTGTAATTCCTTTAAGACCGGCAGCGTACTGATCAGTCTTTGATGTGCTTTACTCACATATACTTGTAAACATGTTTTCAGTGTGCTCTTTCCTGGAGAACTGGTGCATATCCTAACAAGTCACACTCATTTTATGAAAGATTTAGAAGAACGACTTCAAAACTGGAAATTACACGGCATTGTTGGAGACATTTTTACGAAGCTAAGCAGCTCTTATCATGTAAGTTTCAATTCTTAAGCTTTGACAGAAAAGTAAAACTGGCTCACTCTTAACTATGGCTTCTAAACGTCGTACTTGCATTCAGCCTTAACATCATAATGTTCTGAGTAGATTTTTTTCAACGTAGTTCCTTAGCTGTTAGAGCTCTTTCAAGCTGTATTTGTCTGTTTGCTTTTTAACTTTACTGAAAATCAACAATACTCTATTATTCCACAGATTGATGTCTTACGAATCTATTCCAATTACGTTAACAACTTCCCCAAGGCAATAGGCGTAATAAACAAAAGTTCAAGGGGATCACACAAATTTAGGAAATTTTTACAGGTAAATTTCTGGAGTGTTTTCTTTCAGTGTGGTTACCATGACAGTAATGCGTCTAACCCTGTTCCTTTTCTCTTTTAGAGCTGCTCTTTAAACTCGGAATGCGAAGGACTAGATTTACCTGCTTTTCTCCTTACTCCAATTCAAAGACTACCTCGATACGTCCTTCTTCTCAGGGTAAGTCAATAGTGTATCTTAGGAAGGTACAGATATTAAATATTTAAAGAAATACGAACCTATGTCCCAATAAGAAGTTTTTAAAATCACCTATGACTTTAAGGATTTTCGGAGATGGGACACCGTTTTTGTTATTTTGCATGGTCCTTTCACGCAAATTTTCAAAGTTAAACAAATGCGTCTAAATATCTGTGGTTTTTGCTTTTTCACGAAACCGTTTCTTGAAGTTATTAAATTTTCAGCAGTTTTGCAACAGTTGGTTTTAGTCTAGCTGCAATATCACTTGATGAATACTGATATTCCGAGCATAAATCATCCAAATGGCCCATACCTTTTCTAATGGGAGAAACTGACAGAAAACAAAACAGAGGAAAAAAAGGTTGAAAATGCTTTGCTTGTTTCCATAGCAACTTTCAAAGTACACAGATGCAGGACATCCTGACAGTTTTCACATTGCAAACGCCTTGGAAACAATGAAACAAATGATCAACATTCTTAACGATTCTATCCAGAGCTCTTGTAAACTGGCAAACAACACGCAGATTAAACGGAGCTTCAAGAGAAAGTAAGTTTGTACTTTTATATCGTTAATAAGGGATGTTGTTCGTAAGTCAGTGAAACGAAACAATCCGTGCTGTGTGAATTTACTGATAGATCTATCATGCACTTTGCCACTTTATATAGATGTCGGTACATACGCGTTTTCTTCGAAGTAACCTGAGCATATGAAAGTCAAGTGTTTCCTGTCAGTGCATTGCCACTGACCTGAACACCTCATTCACAAATAAAAATAAAATGAATGACTCATTACTCTAATTTCGTTTCAGGTCATTGAGAAAAAAGGGGAAAGAACTTCCAAGGAGCAGGCACAATTCACAAGACCACGATAGGTGTGCATATAATTGAATGCTACCCAAAAATTTCTACAATGCTTCATATATTGACCTTAAATTGCAACTAATATCAATTCTCTTCCGTAATCTTCCGTAAGCTACTGAGACCGTCCTTTTTTAATTTGACGCCGCTGAAGACGACTTAAAGTTCTGGATGTATACTTAAAGTTGATCGACCATTTTGAGAGATACTCATATCTCAATGCTCTTCTTATCCTTAAACAGAATATCTTTGGGAAATAGCAGCGTGTCAACGATATCGATGGTATCCCCTAGGCCACTCACTACTTTTTCCCAAGATACAACAGCTGCGAGAGATACGCAACAAACTGTTACTTCAGAAGACAAGTGAGTTACATAAGATTTTTATGAAATTCGTATGGATGAAAAAGTGTCATACAGAAAGGAAAGACATGTCATTGAACGGAAAAATTATTAATCATTTACAGTTACTGAAACATAATGTAAAGAACGTTGTAGCTTAGGACATCATATCTATAGGCCTAAAGGAAGGTTTAAAGTACAAAACCTGTTCACTAATCTTCTTGAAAAAAGAGAGGAAATAATGCAGCGAAAGAAAAGATTATAACAACCGTCCCTTTTTCCTTTTTTAGCAGCAAATCTCCTGCACTGTGTCGTGTTCATAGTGTGTCAGGCGGTGAAACGCCCCACGAGAGAGAGATGTATGAAGAGATGGCCGCCATTGAAGAAGAGGCGATCGAGGATGTAAAAGATATCAAGAATCAAGGGTGAGTTTCTTTCGGGATGAAGAGGGCCTTTTTTTAATTCTATGCCATTAAAAATAACTATATTTGTGGTGATTAATAATTGAAATAGAAGAAATTTCAGAAGAATGGCACTTGTTAACGAGAGGATGATAGTAGTTAGGAGGAAAAAACTCGAAGTCGGGTACGCAGTTAATAAAGGATGAAATTGGTGATAGATGAGACTAGATTAGCATTAAATTTTTCTTTCAGTTTTTCAATAAATCTTCACTCACGGGCAATTACGAGCTCCAAAGTTAACACTGCTGTTTGTATTCTGGTTTCAGGCAAAATGTTTTTCGAATGGCAGCAGACAGTCTTATGAGGAATTGGCAGCGAAGGTCTAAGAAATGGCGCAGATCGACAGAGGAACCCTTCAAGCGCGAAAGTTTGAGTGAAACTGATAGGACAGCAAAGGAAAACGAAATAAACGAAAGTGGAAATGAACAAAATACGGCTGATGAAGGCAGCTGCAAAAATGAGGATGAAAATGCAAATATAAGGTCAGATGATAAAGAATTTACAACGAGCCGAACACCACCGTGTAATCCGTGTAGAAAAAATGCCGTTGCATCTCGTGCGAGGCCTCGTCCAGTTTCTCTAGGATACTTGTCTAATTATCAATTAAAAGAACACGACGAAAGAATCAAGGGCAAGGTGTTATCGGACCCTAGTTTAGCAAAGGATGATGAATCACTTGAGTGTTCAAGAGATGTGTGGATACCAAGGAGCAATACTCTCTCGCCCAAAAGGAGGCCATCTGAAAATTTTCGAAGGTCAGTTTGCTCTAGTGTGGTGTCAGGAGACTCCTCGCCCTCAACGGGAAGCAAAAAGAGCTTATCGCGAATTTCTCAAGAAAGTCTGGCAGATTCTGGAGTTTCTGAAACGCCCGGGAGTTCACCATCGAACACACTAAACAGCAGAACTCATAAAATCTTAAAAGAGAGAAGGGACAGACTTAGCAGTTCATCGCTCACCAATGTTTCTGGGACAAATGAATCTAAACAAAAACTCTCCCGGCTGAATAGGAGGAGCTGGGGTGACTGGGTGTCCGCCGAGATGGAAAATACACCGGATGAGGTGTCGGAAGAAAGAGATGATCAAGTTGACGATGTCAACGTCAAAAATAAACGCAGGTTTAAGGATGTTATGAAGCAATTTTTCTCTTCCAAGAAAAAGTAAGTAGCATGTTGGAATAGTATCTAAATGTGGTTATATGTTTTCTGGTTTTAGTTTAAAATATAAAAATGATTGCTTTTGCTTATCGTAGTATTTAATGGGGCAGCAGCTCTCTTGACACAGGATCGAACTGTTATGAAGTGGAGATGAGGTCACATGTTCCAATGCGTTTGAATCTGATGGTCGTTGATGGTCCATTTATACAATTTAGATAAAACCTTTTCATAACTTCAGTCGAACCTTTATTAACCAGCACCGTATTAAGCGGTCGGTTGTGGAAGTCTCACATTTTGTCCTTAAATTACTGTAATTTTTTAACTCTATATTTAGCAGTTACATTTTTGTGACTACAGGTTCGACTTTATATGTCAATTGCTAATAGAAGTGCTTGAAGACTATTATTATTATTATTATTATTATTATTATTAATATCATTCTCTTTAAATACAGGATCAATCAATTGTACTCTGGAGAAGCTAATGCAAACACGCCATGCTCAACAAAGAGACCCCACAGGTCACAGAGATCATCAGATCCTTGCGCAAGAGTTTCCACAGTTTAACATCAAAAGATGAAAACAGCTGGCTCAGTGTTTGGCACTAGGTTCGACTTGATAATTAATGGATTTCAGTTTACTTTAAGAAACAAGCACGACCTCTCAAAAAGACTTCTATTGTGGCAACTTGGATTCATTGTGTTCTCTCTCTCTCAACCAACTATTGCTGATTTATAAAATGAGCCTGAAAAAATGTGACGGTTCATGAACGCACTCTCCCTTGCGAAGGAACACTTTTCTCATATCTAACTTCAGGGGTTTTTCCGAGAGACTTAAGAGCTAGTGGCTGTTTTTTTATTTTATTTTACATACATTCCAACATTTAAGTACATCCACGAACAAAGGTTATCAATATTTTTATTAATACTATTATTACTAATGTTATCGTTTTGACTATTAATATTAATATTAATTATTATTATTTATATCATTATCATTGCTGAGAGTGTTTTAAAATCGATGTGAATTATTGGTTAGCTTCTAAAATAATTTATTCTTATTCAAATATCTTATTTGATGCAGAGGTGTTCGATCATAGCCAGTTAAAAAGCAAAGCAACATTCAATGTAAAGCAACTCGGTTTCATTGGCATGTTCTCTTTATTGTTTGTTGTAAAAAGAAAAATATCGTTAGCTCTCCACTGTAAATAGATTAGAAGAACAAATACAGTCTAATCTGAAAGCCAAGACAATGTTTCATAGGTTGACTAACATCTTTCACTTAGATCTCGAAGGGTTCCTTTTATTCTTTATTTACTTAAGGAATGGAGAGGTTGGGGAGGAGCTATTCAAAGCCTTTGCCTAGTCTTGCCTTTTTTCTGTTTTTTTGTTTGTTTTTCGTTCGTTTATTTTTTTGCATTATTTGAGTTGCTTATGTTTGTTGTTTTAATTTTTTCTTCAAATGTGGAATGTCTGCCTGATAATCCTTTTTTTCGTGATTGTTCTTCTTTTTTCGGTTTTAAGTCTTTGCTTGCTTTCTTATTTTTTTGCTTTGTTTTGCTCTTGTTTTTGTTCTTGTTTTTTTTCATTCCATTTACTGAGGGGTTGATTCTGGAACCCTTCGATTTCCAAGCAATCGAAGTCAAACTTGTGAGCGAAGGAGACAAAATTTGTGTCTTAAGAATTTAATGCAGATTATTTCGTATTTCTTTCCCTCCATTCGCATGAACCATTAGGAGGTATGTGCCTCTAGCTGGCATCACTAAGTGCTATAAAATGCCAATGGAGTCTCATATTGCGCTTTCTTTGAACGAGTTTTGTCGCTCTTGATTGGCCCAAACGGTTTCTCAGGTATACTCGGCATTCTTAAAAGAACGATTGAAAATAAATGAAAAAAATGTAGCCGTATGGAAAACAGAATTACACCAAAATCAGAAACTGCAAGACAAGCAATATCAAATATACTCGGCTGCAATTCGTTGCATTTGTCTCAGATTAGGGCAATTTAGGATTATCAACTGAGTCGGATTACGTAAATTGGCAACCGTAAAGAACTTCAAAGCTGACGTTCCTAGCGTTAGCCCTTCGTCAGAGCGACTGATGAAGGGCTAACTCTCGAAACGCCAGCTTTAAAACTATACAGTGGCCAGTTTACGTTATCAACTCAGCTGACAATAGAAAGTTACCGTATTATACTCTCCCACCGACGCAGCACCACAGTTTCCCTAGAAACTTACTCCCTTGCTGTCCATTGTTGTTGTTTTGTATGAAAGCCGCTAACGAGAGCCTACCAACACCCCAAAATAGATGCCACGTTTCAGACTATCCCCATGATAATTTGACTGCTATGAAATAATAAAAAATAAATAAATAAAAAAAAGAGGATAGGATTCGAACCCACGCGTGCAGAGCTCATGGGATTAGCAGTCCAAGGCCTTAACCACTCGGCCACCTCATCCTCGCTATGAGGTGGCCGAGTGGCCGAGTAACCGAGTGAGACACACACGAGCAGGAAATGACAGTTGGAAAGACAGGTGCGCAAATCTTAATACGTAGGATCGTGTAAAGCTAAGGAAAGTAAAAAAAAATGCAACAAACACTCATTAGTTGTTGAGTTTTTCATTCACTGCAATCATTTCCCGTAGGTCATTGGTATTTGGAGACATCATTACTGATGGTAATTAAAATTACGATAAATGTTTGAGGTAAGTCTAATAAAAATCGATTTATACTCTTCAAGGCATGACATAAGGCCTTCTCCTTTCGGCAGGGGTGTATCCCTGGTGCTATCCCCGGGAAAGAAATCTGAACTATGATACCGATACCAAAATAGCCGAAACTAAAAGTTACATTATAACTTATCAGCGATAAAATCAAAATGAAACATTAGATGTATCGAACTTTTGATGGAGATTCGATAAACATATTGATACAGAATCCAGCAAACAGTCACACTTGTATTAATTAATCCGTGCGCAGAGGCGCGCCGTTTCTGGAATCGTAGCATTAGTAAAAGAAAGCCGTGTTATCGTAAATAAAATAACCCTTACAACGAGCGCCCAGTTTGGTCAAAAAAGATCTATCGTCATTGCGCCGGTAATCCAACAGAAAATTTTATTTTACTTTACAATTGCAAAAGCAGAAGACTGCACTTTCTACTAAGTTTACCGGCGTAATAACACACGCGGGGTGTTGGAAGAACACGAGCAAAGTTTGTAAATCACTCGCCGCCGGCTCAAACTTCCCTCGTGGATTATTATCAATAAATCGATAGAAATTGCAGTCTATCATTTAAATGAAAGGAGTCTGTTTTTTTTTCCTTTTCTGCGCGCAATTGTCTGGTGTACACTCAGTTTGTAGATAATCCCGAACAAATAATAAATTTCTTCGTTCTCCACTTTAATGCTCGCTGATTCTTAAAAATTATAAGGGGGCCGAAGTAGTCGTCGGGTATTCCAAGGAGAGCCGCGCACGTACGTGAGTCAATACAAACCCTTGGCCATACTGTTTGACATTTACATTCAAATAAAATTGTAGATTTAAACCCAGCTGGAACCCATAAATTAGTTAAAATAGTCCCTTCCATATCAATCCTCTTGCAATTTTTATAAGTCGAAATTCAACTTAACCTTAAAAGGCTCGTTTGTCATGGGTTTACCATTCAAAACATTTGGAATATTCTTTGTAAAGATTTTAATCTCATTGTGACTTTTTATTGAACTGAGGTAATCGTCTTAAGTCCCCTCTTTACAGGATAATCGGATTTAGCTTTTTTAATCTTATTTTAATTAATTTTGCTTCAATGTATCTGAAATTGTCCCAGGCTGAAACTATCTCCAGTTACCCCTGCGGACAATAAGCGAGGGTTGATCATCGGGCACCAGAGTTTAGTAAAGGGACCATTAATAGTTTACGATGATCCAAAATTAACCTTGTTTTTATCTTCATCGTTTTAATTCCTGTTGTTTGTTTGTTTGTTTCAAAGTCGGTTAACAAATAGATGAAAAGAAAAATGAATTTTTTTCAATAAATACTTGTCTGAAATGATATATTAAAAGAAATAAGGTAATAACAACGACGACATTTAAATTCACTGAGAATCTAAGATGGCAAGATTTTCTTACCATTTACTCACTCCGTTAGTCATTAATCCCTCCCTACTCATTTCATTCATTCATTTCTCTTTTTTTTATTCAATAATTTACATATTTATTTAATTTTTGTCTTAGAGGTAATTTGGATCTGGTGTTATATCTGTCGCATATGCGTATACACAAACGGCTGTTGATAAGCTAAGTGTAAGAAGCTTGCTTTTTATAGTAATAATAATTATAATACTAATACTAATATTAACACTAATACAAATACTAATACTAGTGCTAGTGCTAGTACTGATACTAATACTACGTCTAATATAACTACTATTACTACTACTAATAATAGTGATAATAATAATGACAACTGTAGCTGTATTTCAGTGTCTAGGGGATCTAACACCAGCGGAAGACAGGTGCCAATTGAAGACCTCTCGTATTACACTCTTAGCAACCAAAAATTCAATCAAATTACACTAAGGAGTTGCAGGTTACTAAGCTAAATCTATTCGCAATTACAATAATATATGCTAACGTTCTTAAAGTTTAATTTTTAAAAGCAAGAAATAATAGTTAATTACAATTAACTGAGAAAATGCAAATATAAGGCATACATACAAAGCAATAGATCTATGTTCAAAATCTTACTTTGAGTTAACCCTGGGCGTTTACGTTAAGGCCGTGCAGAGGGCTAAGTGCTATTTCTCCTTCCCGACACATATATGAACGCAACATTTGTATGACGCATACCCAACCACAAGGGTCACCTGTTGAATTTCGAAAAGGAAATGAAAAAACGAGGGGTCAGAGTTCTTGGTCACAACATTGCCGGGTATGACGCACAACCAGCCACAAAGGTCACCGGTAGAAGTATTTTTCCGAGCTAATGAGGGAAATCAGGTCTCTTCATATCAGCCGCATAAAGGGAGTAAGTTTCTAGAGAAACTGTGGTGCTGCGTCGGTAGGAGAGAATAACTGGGTAATTTTGTATTATCAGCTGAGTTGATAACGTAAATTGGCCACTATAAAGAGTTTCAAAGTTGACGTTTCGTACGTTAGCCTTTGGTCAGAGCGAAATAACAGCACCCATCACCAATGGAGTTATCATCTCTAATTTAATAAAACGAGAATGAGGTCAGAGTTCTTAGTCACAACATTGGTATGACGCACAACCAACCACAATTGTCACCAGTAAAATTGTGTATCCGAGCTAGTGAGGGAAAACAGGTTTTTTTTTTACAACAGCACCCATTTGAGAGATCCCGTATTTGAATATCAATGACATGAGCTTGACTTTAAGACTTAAGCCAAGAAGAAATAAGTATTCGTTAGTACAACCACCACGAGTAAGTAATTCAGCAAGATATCTTCAGAGATATCTTCGAATTTGGCCAAAAATTGTATCAGAAACAAAATGAAACAAGAGGACACAAACTTCTTGATCGGAAATGAACGCTTTTTTTTTAATTGAAAACGTTGAGAAAATTTTGGCCTCCTTAGCTGCACTCGTCGAAACACCTTGGAGTAATAAATAAATACCGTAATTTCCGTCCATTTGCTCGCGCGGCAGATTACCCGCATATATGATATATCACTACAAAGTATGGCGCATAAAAGGTATGTAATAATCGTTGATGAGGCACCAGCTGTTTGAAACTACGAACATCTTGAAAAGATGTTAACATGTTGTAAGATGAATGACATGTTTACGAGGGAAGAAATGATCTGAGTGAAAAAATGAAAAACGGATGTCCTGGAACACTACCAATTTTGAATTTTCTAGAGAAGTCAAAATGTCAAGGTAACTTT